AATGTCATCATTTATCCATTTTGTCGTACTATTTTGATAAAAAAAATATTTTAAAGTGTTGAGTGTCACAAATTTAATAACTAAAATTATATCTCGTAAAAATAAAAAACTAAAAAAATATTTAAATTCAATCTTATTTAATCCTATCTAAATTTTGAATGGAAAATTCATTAAATATTGAAAATTATTAATTTTTTTTCAAAAAATTAAAATGGAAAGTTAAGATATGAATTTTATGATAACTTAAAACTTTTTAAAAGAGTAGTTTAATAAAAATATTAGATTAATATGGCGGAGTCTTTCAAAGGATTAAATTAAATGTTAATTATCTTTATTTTACCTTTTGTTTAAAAGGAAATTATCATCTTAGCATAATTGTAATTAAATTTAGTCTTTACAAATAAGCGTAAAATTTACTATACAGTATAATATGATTATTGAATTGGATTTAAAAGAATATTTTATTTTAATTTTTTTAAGCTGTCTGCAAATATAAAATTAATTATCCATACATACTAATATATGAAGATGTTCCCTATTTTGGGGTATAACTTGTTCTAATATTAATTAATTTCATGATTACAAGTAAATGTAAATATACAATTTAACAGTACATGTTATAGTTAAACGTCAACTTCGGATATATGTCAGGATAAGAAGAAGTTTTGATTATCACTGCTTTCTAAATTATCGACTGCGGTAATTGAAATGGTAGATTCTCTAAATTAATTCAAATAATACTAAGTTTTGAATTGAATGTAAATCAGTATATTTTGTATTATTATTTAGCAATAAACATATGATCTATTATTAAAAAATATATAAAATAAATAAATTTTAAAATATTAGAAATACAGAAAATAAATAAATTAAAAATTATAATTCAAGCTCATTCTTATATATTTGTCCTTGTATCTTTCAAAACATTTTGTCATATCCTTGCCAAGAAGGCAAGTTAATGTTACGTATACACCTCTGTTATTGTAATGCAAACATGGGTGGGTAGTGTGGCAAAAGTGTAAAATAAAATGTTTACATAAGCGTTGTCGATATATTATTTGCTGAGCGATGACGGCTATGGTTTGTTAACACAGTCACGACTCAGCTGCCACCGTGGTCCCACACTGCCTAACTTCTAAGAAATTTTATTCAATGTTTTTAAGAAAATAAATTATTAATAAAATTTATGGTGTTAATTTTTTTATAAAAAAATATTAATATTTTTTGTTAATTTAAATTTATTATCAATAAGCTCAAGAATTAAAACTAATCATAAAGTGCTCTAATTTTTTTAAGATTAAAATGTTTAAAATGTAAATGAAATACTTCAAAATTCAAAAATATGATAACAACATGCAATGGTTTCTCATCTCTAACAAGTACACTTTGACCTTATTGTTTTCAAGGAATATTGTTCATCAGATAAGGCTGGTCTTGAATGTGTGCTTTTGTACGTTGGAAGTTTTATAACAGCAAATTTAACGTGAAAATGATATTTTATAATGTTATTAAAATATATAAAATATTTTGAGTATTTGAATGCAAAACTAAATATATTATGATTATAATTTAAAATTAAATTAATTATAGTTAATATAATTAAATTAAAATTTTTAACTTAAATCAACTTAAATAGTCAATATTATTTATTTTTATATTAAAATATAACAATTAAATATGTATGACAATTGAAATTACTAAAATTTAAAATTAATTCATATTTTCACCTAATACCAGTCATATTTTTCAAATTTATTGTCGTCAGAAATGAGTTCAAAATGACCCATATCAACCCTTTTTTTTATGATCCCATTCTGAATGTCAAATAGTATTATGCATCAGGTCTTATTCTTTCCAGAAGTCGACAGGGAGATAACAACAATAGTGTACATATAATAATAATAATAATAACAATAACAACAATAAAGAATATGAAAAGAAAAATAAGAATGGAACTTATTATATATATAATATTTTTAATATTTCTTCATTATACTGGTTATCGTATTTCACTTTTTTATTTATTGTAAAACAAAATGCACAAATGCAATTTTTCATTAATAAAAAGTCAAGGACAGAAGGGTTTGGTTTGACAACTATAGAGGAATTGTCCCAAATACTCATTCACAAAGAACAGATGTGATTTTTATATAGAATAAACGTTCGCCAGAATTTTGTATACAATTAATAAAAAATAAGTTCAATTGTTTTTTAATATTTTTAAAAAATCACAATGGACAAGGTTGAGGAATATATTATATATCCATATTTGTATTTGTGAACAAAATTTGCAACCAAATTCATATTTACATAAGTAGCAATTTTGACATTCTTACCTACACTTAATAGGTATTTATATCATTCTGATTTAGACTCATTACTAGTGTTTTTGTTAAGTAAGATATATGTTTTCTTTGATATGTTTTCTTCTGTAAACAGTAAAATAAAAAGGTTTAATTTTGAGAGTACATGCATTTTTACATTATCTGCTATTAAAATAAATTTAAATGTTTTTTAAATTGATTATTATAAAGTTCAATTATTATATGATGATCCATGTAGAATAATATGTAATTTTTTATATTATTAATATATTATAATTAAATTAAAAGATGCTTACTTTAATATTAAAAGTATATTTAAATAAAAAAATCAAATATATTGTTTTTAAAATTCGTGTTACAAAACATAACAAACAGATTATGCATGTTATATATAACATAAAAAAAATATTATGATATTCAAATCCGCACTCATAATAATAAATTTTTTTTGTAATTATTATTTAAACTTCGATTGGTAAAAAAAAATCTACTCATTACAAATAATATTTACAGAAATTTATTAAGTAAAGAGCCTCACCCAAAAAATAAAGACTAATTTAATGAATCGTTAATGTGGGAGATTATTTTAAAGTTTAGAGTCGTCATGTTTGTTGGCTGAAGGACATCATCACCGTCATGCAATCCAATTGGTTCTTTTTTGAATGCTGGGGGAGAGAAATAATTTTTTGATCGAGGTGGGGCATCTGTGATAGGCGTTAGGTGCTTTGAAAAGTTCCAAAAGATTTCAGACGACAGAGTGTAGCTCGTTTACATATGCTACCCATCTTTTCATTTTATCATGTTCACACATAAATTTTTTTAGTCATATCAATTTTTTAATAATAAAACCTGTCAAGACACAGTTTTATAAATGGATGAATATTCAGAATAATCACCCCAAAAATTTAAAGTACTTTAATTAAATAAATAACTAATTAGTTATTCCTTAAGATTATAAATATAAAACACTTTAATCCTTTTATCTAATGAATGAAAGAAATTAAATGACTGATATTTATATTCCTAAAAGACTATTTAATTTTTTATATTCTTTATAACTAAATTAAATTGAGAAAAAATATGCGAAGCCGAACTGGATATTCACTCTTTTATGAACTTTCAGAAAAAAAGCAACACAAGGATAATGAATATCATTTCATTGTTGCAAAATTCCTTGTTGATTAATATTCATTCCTTTTACCTTTAGAAAAAGTTTCTTTTAGTACATTTTCACAATATCAACTAGGGATGTATAAATAGTCTTGATTATGATAAATATTTATAATAAGAGTTTTATCATTTATCATTTATAATAATTTTACTCAATTTAAACAGAATTGCCTTAGTGTTTTTTTTTAAGATTGGGATATTTAGGTTCCTATATTCCTAGTCTAGTTTGTTTGTATTTTGGACCTTTAAGGTCCATTTATCAGAAAAAAAAAAAGAATTGCCTTAAATAAAGAATATTTTTGGTCTAAATATAAATAAATAAATAACTTTAAATTTTCTACATTTAGTTTTTTATATCTATTTCAATTTTGTTTCTCTTTTTTTTCCTTTTTTATTTCACAATAATCAAAATATTTATATTTTTTTTTCTTATTTAATGAATGTATACAATCCATGGAACTGTCAAATCATAATTGTTCACATTATAATAAGTCTTTTAGTCACTCTAGTCTTTAAGAAGTCATGCATTTGATATATTTAAGCATTGGCATTGTGTTATTAAGAAATATTCCTTCAAAATATGGTAATAGGTATTTTTTAAGGGAAGGCTTTTTAAATTGCCCATAACCTGAGATTTAGGAGTAATTCCAAAAAATGTTACTTGCTTTTCCTTATTTATTTATTTAGATTACATGTATTTTTTTACTAAAAGCGATCATGTTCAAGTCATATAATATTACTATAACCAACAAACTTCTCCTTCTGAGTATTTAATACAAATTTACTAAGACTCAAACCCAAAATCACAAATTAAACTAAAACAATTCTTACTAGCTTTATTTTATGTTCCAGAAAAAATTTTGTACATTTTCGAAAACATTTTTAGTCAAAATTTTATAGAGATTTTAAAAAAACTAAAAATGGTACCAAACACAATTAATTTAGAACATCCTGCAATTATGCATTTAATTAAAGTTAACCAAAGATGATTGCATTTACCAAAAAACAGTGACTGAAATAAATTGAGATTTCAAAGACTGGCTTGAAACGGGTTGCCATGAGTTAGAACTACCTAATCAAATTTGAACTCCTTCACCATCATTTCAAAATATTTGACACATCCAAAGTGACATCTCATCCGCCCTCATAAGAAATTGCTATATCTTTGTTACTTAGTGCTGCAAGCAGCAATTGACATTTGATTTATGCATTTCAGGTCCCTTTCCTACCATTTTATATAACATGTTCAACATAAACAGATGCAAGCAACATATTTTGTAGTGGCTTCCGAACATCAAAAGCATCAATTGCTGCTATTATTAACACCTAAACCAACAAGAAATGTCTTCAGCCTTGATGATCCAGTATCAAAGCAAAGGAAAATGAAAAACAAATATAGAGAACATTCGAATATTATCTCTCGATACCCTCATAGCCCCACTCTTTTTTGGAAACACGAGAGCAAAAACCAATGACAAAACACATGCAATTAACTTCAACACATTAAACGGAGCAATATAGTGTTTTTCAATTTTATACATTTAGGCTGATATGTTATAAATAATGTCCTACAAATTTTTACACCATCAGAATATACAGTGATACTAGTACTCACAAAATACCAAGGGAATAATTTTGTAAGTTTACAAACAAAAAAAAAGTGGTCCTAAGAACACATTCCACTTTGGCCAATGCTACTTGGTTCTATCCTTGTAAGATGGCGTTCAATCTTTATGTATGACAACTTTTGGTCAAAGAATCAATAGTTTGAATAAACGAGCAAATAACTGAATTGGATTTGGACTGTGTACAGAGTAATTTAAATTGTGAGCAGAAAGGTTGTCTTAAACAAGATATATGCCTTGCAATTATGAGTATGGAATGGTAAGCTGTGTTTTACTAGTTCCCTGATAGATGTTTATCTAGAAAAGCCTTAGCCAGATTACTGAAGCTCACACTAACTTCTTTCGCTGCAGCATACCTCTTGATGACATCAACAACTTCAGGCTTTAAAATCTCTTCCTTGTTAGATTCGTTACAAACATAATAAAGTGCCCCAAGTGCATAATTCACCTGATACCAGGTAAATGCGTTGTTTAGTTATCAAATTGTAATTGGATCTCACGCAGAAGTAAATTACATTTATAGTGTACAGGTCAATGTAAGAAACATTGCTAGTATCAGAAGCAATTTGAAGAATTGAGATATTGGTAATGTTGAGTAAGGTAAATATAATGGTATATAAAATATCAATGTTCTGAGAAATCAAAAATCGAAAACACAAATGCATGTTTCAAATAACTAAATTTCATACAAAAAATCATATGAAATTATTTTTCACTTATAAAAAAATACTTTTAGTGATCAAGTAGAAAACATAAATCATGCTTGAAAACTTAAGGGTAAAAAGTTCGTTCAAAAAGGAAGTTTGAGAATCTGACTATTCATGGTTTAGCAATCCCTTTGGCTTACTAGCTACTTAGGAGCCAAAAAAGTGGAACAGAGTAAAAGAGCATGCTCTTATTCTTACAGTGTTTCTAACTGGGCTTGATAAACACTGAATTATAAGAGGTATACCACCAAAATTAGTTACAATTGCGGCATTGGCTGGATCTGGACAAAAAATGTAATTTTTGTCAATAAGATAGACAATTAAGCAAGCAGAAAAAACAATATAAAAAAAAAGATAAACTAGCTAGAATTACCAACAGAAGAATTGCATATCCCTCCAACACCAAATTCCACAAGCTTTTCATTGGGTTCAGTTAAGCAGTCAAGAAAAAGTTCCAAAACATTAAGCTGCAATATTATGCAAGCGCATTTTAGTTAAATTGGTGCAATTTTTTTCTGCAAAGGAAACTGATGGGTCCATACCTGACGCAAGAAGTTATAGTTGTAAGGATCATAGGCAAAATTGGCCAAATTTGCCAAAATCTGCTCTTTTGTTTCTGCAAAAATGGCAAAACATAAGAAACATCAGAAACCTAGACAAACATGAACATTATTAATTAATGGAAAAAATTTACCATCCTCAGATGTATTCTGAAACTTAGTCACCAATTCCTGAGACAAATATTATCCCCATCTCAGGTTCATACAAAATAAAATCACCGGAACAAATACAATATAACGGTGCACTATTGAATTGAAAATAACATGCTTTCTTAATGATATTATAGTTCAAAATGAGAAATAAGAGGAAGCACCTGAAGGTATTGCAATCTAGGAGTTCCATATTTCCCTGTTCGTTCTTGTTGCCTTTGGTCATTGGTGAACATGTATGCGGATGCAGCGGATCTTCAGAAAAGTATAAAACTTGAGGAAAAGTTCAAAAAAAGGAATTTGATTTACAAGACAATTTTAAAATTTTGATGAAGAGGACCCGATACTATCAATATGGACCATAATGTTATAAAACTCACCTGACCATCAACTCAGTCAAGGTTCTTCACGTATACAATCAGGACATTTAATCAAAGATCTAAATTACATTCATTAACAAAGCCATACACACTTGTCATCTAAACTCAACATGGCCTACACCACAGACTGTAATTCAACGACCAGAAAATGGTCAAAATCAATCGCTATTGAGCCAAACTAGACAATTTGATTGTCCTATTAGAACCAAACATCAAATTTGGATTGCCATTATATTCCATCACCATTTCAAAGAACCAACAGTTATCAATGATATGGAGATTTTATTGTCATTAACAAATGCTCAGATACAATACTCGACACGCAAGTAAACAGAATAGTTCAAGTAAACACGCAGACTGAAACTAGATAATAGAATTTAATAATCTAAAATAGCAGTGTGAGAAGGGTTTGATGCTTCGTTTCACGAAACATGATGATGTAAAGTATCAGTAATCTTAAACAAAAAAAAAGAAAAAAAAAAGAGAGCTAAATTATTTTGGCAATAGTAGGAAATTTTGGAAAAGAGAATCACCGATTGCAGAAAATCTCACCGCGAAAACCAAGGTCGCTTGTTGGAGGAACTACAGGGTGAAGGAAATGGAAGAGCTTTGATGAGACGGGTGAGAGAAGGAATAAAGGGAGAGAATGCTAAAAACGACACAGTTTTGTTGTCCTTTTAATCTCAGCCTGTTGTTGATAAGGACAGCTCAAAGGAACACGAGAGGAGAAAAAAAATTTAAAATTTAAATTCAAGAAAAAAAGGGAAAAAAAATGGTCAGGACTACAGTAAATTAACATATTACATGACATATAAATTATCAAAATGATTTATTATAATAAATTTTAAAATTTATGATATATAATATTATTTTTAATAAAATTTATGTTAAAAATATAAATATTAAATATTTAAAATAAATTTGTTTGAATGTTTAAAAAGACTATGAATACAACCATAAAGATAATGAAGATATAAAATAATAAATTTTGAAGGTTGAAAGAATAATTTTAAAAATATTTAAAAATTTTATAAATATATAAAAATTGTTATTATTAAATTAATATTAAAAAATTTCAATCATTTATACTTTTTATATTACATCAAACAGTTCTAAAAAAGCCACTCACTCATACATCACTCATACATCATATGTTTACTAACTCATGTTATAAAAAAAATTAGATTATTATTTTTATCAATAAGATTTTTATTTATTTTACCAAATAACAAATAATAATTATAGAGTTAAATCCACTCACAAAAGCTTGTTTTTGGTTTAATTAATGATCTTGACCTTGAATCTATCTACCCTTTTGTTTAACTAATTAAGCAATTATATAAAATACTGAAAAAAACTTTACTGCATATTAATAATTTTATTTAACAAAATTAGATTATTAACCATAATTTTTTTATTACATTTAATAGATTTTGAATATATATTTCAAAATATATTGCATAATAATTTTAATTTTAATATATTTTCTAAAAATTTTAAAAAATTAAATTTTATAATTATTGATAAAAGAATATATTTCAATAAAAAATTATAAATAAATTATAAAAATTTTAATTTTTAAATTAATACTGAATTATATATATATATATATATATAATGTAAAAAATAACAAAAAAAACTTTTAAAAATACTCATTTAAAAATATTTCTAAGAACGCTCTCATTTAAGTCTTCAAATGTTCTTAAAACTCTTTCCTTCTTTAAATCTTGACTGCATAGCTTAGTTTATTAAAAAAATAAAATTTATTTTGTTATTTTTGAATTTATTTTAAAGATTTTAGTTAGATGTTATTTATCCATTTAAGGATATTAAATAAGGAATTAGAATTAAATTTTCATTTAAAATATTAGTAATATATGCTTACACTATAATTTTTAATATATTTTTTATTTTTCAATTGAAGGTCCTAAAAACGCAGTTAACCATACCCATACCTTTAAATATTGTATGTCTCTCCATTTGAATTTAACTTTAAATGCTCGTAAATGAATCTAAAAACACGTTCCCATGCGTTTTATACTATATTAATTATTTTTTAGATTCAATGATACTTTGATTTATATTTAATTTTATCCTTCATTTTTTTTCAGGTATCCTGAGACGTTTGATAGTACCATTTTTCATTTATTCATTTTAAGTTTCTTATTTTTAAAATTTTATTCAACAATTAATATAAATATGTCAAATATGTAATACTATTGATTTGTACAATTTTTTAAAAAATAATTAAATAAAAATAAACTTACGTTATATATTTCATATATTTCATTTACTATTTTTGTTCAAATATTATAATGTCATACCTTTTCTTTTTCGTATTTTTGTTAACTATTGAATTAGATTTTAACATGAAGAATTTAATTAACCAATAGTAAGGTATTCACTGACAATTTTTCTGAAACAAATGGAAATTGAATTGAAACAAGCCTTTTTATAGTGGAACTCAAATCATACTACTAAATGAAGGTGTGTGAACTGCCATTGAACAAACAAGCCTTAACAATAGTGGACAAAACTTACATTATTTTGCCGTTAAGCCTCGATTATATTTGCTTCTTAATTCTCGTTTGAGACCTCATAGTTTCATAAGCCACTCATGGTAATGGAAAAACGTTTTTATACAAAATGGCATGAACGCTAGCATAGCAAGGGAAGAACTCATGGCCGACCTTGTCAGTTTTTTTTGGTTCTGCACAGAATCACAAGACAACGAGAAAGTCCATACTGAGACATCCTCTCAACCAAAAACACCTTATTTTCTTACCCTCTCAAACATGGGAGAAGTAATAATTGAAATAACACGAGACTGTAAAGATACTATACAGTCCAATACTTCTAAACTCATTAGCTCCCTTACAGGTCCTCTGGGCCGTTAATTTCCTGCATACGACAATTCAATCTTTAGGCCTAAACATTAGAATCGCAACCTCACGCTGACAAATAAAATCCCTATATAATTAAATACCTTGTTCTCAATTACAGCACCGTCAGGAATTTCCAGCTTTTCACCAGACTTTGCTACGATACTGACTTTCCCCTGTTAAGGCACCAGAAAACTGACATCAGAAAGAAAATAATGATTTTTTAAAACTATCCCAATAGTGGATAGAATTTTAACTATACAGTTACTTCAACAAAAACAATAAAAATTTATAGAGTTAAACAAAAATTTTAAATAACATTTCAACTGTATTCGGTTACTGTCTCAAGATTTTAATTTTCATGCAACGATATATTAGAAGAGCTCCGCTAATAATAAAATCCAACTTCAATCGCGAGGTTTCTTGCATCAATCATATTGGTAACACTAAGCGTTTCTCTCATCTATAAAAAGTAACCAAATTGTATGGGGGCAGAAATTTACGATAATATTTTGAAAAGTATTTGATTCTTAAAGGAAATTGCTTTGTGGTACAAAAATATACGCACAAATCTGCACATGAATAGTAACAGCTGTGATTTCCATCTAATTCCTTCTTTTTTAAAATATATTATTTTCATCCAATAATGTCTTTCCCTATTCTTTTTGTATAATTTTTTTGGGTACTGTCTAGCAGTGCTGGTTCTTAAAATCTAATACTTTGAAATTTGAGATGGTCACCAAAGTCTCACACTTGGAATGATACAATATTAAAGAAATTAAGGATTAAATGCAATACCTTGAGGGTAACACCAGCTCCAAACCATACATCACCAACCACTTTTAGACTGTCAAGATCAACAATACTAGGAATTGACTTGAAGCGGCCCAAGAAGTTGCTAACCTGTGAAGGAGACCAAGAAAATTAGTATTATAGTTTCCCTCTAACACAAAGTAATTGTTAAGATGTCCCCCATTAGGTAAGAATAGAGACAAAATACTTCTTATAAGAGCTACAGTAGTCCTTCTCTTATGATCTAACTTTTAATACGAGTGAGTTAGGCCCAAGTTTCTTAACAGTAATAAATAATAATGTAATATAAATCTAAACCTTTTTAAATTCTGGTCCCAATTCAATAGAAGGGTTTTCAGGATTTGCCCTAGCTTTGTTCCTAATGACAAATCCATCTTCCAAAGTGTAGAGGTCAGACTGCAAAACAAGACAACAAATTATGTCAAATAAAAGATTCAAAACAATTTCCAAGAAAGATGACATTCCCTGTATCAGAAAAATTTATAACCTGGACAAGAAGCAAATCTGAAGTTGCCTTCACAGGAAGGAATCGTGATCGAGGAACATTAATCCCAATAGCCTTGTCAAAGAACTGTTAAAAAAAATTGTGAAATTAATGGCAATGAAAAAAAATTACAGCAAATATAACCAATAAGTAAATGAACATTGAGTACCCTTATTGCTGCACCAGCAGCAGTTTCCAGCTGAAGAACTTTTACTCCATCAACTTCCTACAAATCCACAAATTTTGTCAGCAATGTCCCAACTGAATATCAATTGTCAAACAAATAACCTAAAATTGAGCATCCTGTAGAAGGAAAGATAGGCTATCATTTGAAAAAAAAACCAATTTCAACCTTTGGATTGGGAATAATCTCCATCTTAAGAGCATCAGCTTCAACAAGCCTTTTAATTGCTTTTAAGTTCACCCATCTGTAAATTATTGCCAACACCTACATGAGTATGTAATCTAAAACAAGAAGAGCTTAACCAGCAAGACTTACAAATTATTTGTGTTGAAAATTTTGAACTTTTCTATTGACTTGAATTCATTGACCTGCATAAAAGAAAGGATTACATTTGAACAGAATAATTAGCAAATCTCTTCTCTAGCTACCCATAAATTGTGTCAAAAGAATGGCAAAAGCATGTTTCGTCACTTAGCTTTATAAACATTATATCATCAATGTGAACATTGGATAATTTTTTATAAAAAGAATGTTAACAGTTCATAATTATAGTTCATAGGTTCATATCATCAACAGTTACCAACAGCTAGTAAACTAAAAGATGTCGTGTAATTACATAGAGATATGAACTCTTTATATCTATCAATTTACTGGACTTTCCTAAACAAGAGTAACCAAAGTAACAGCTGCCAATGTATATTGGCCTAAAACTAAATGATCAATGCTCAGAATAATTGATGTATCATTTTTAGCCTTGAAACAATTTCCTTAAATGAAATGTTGTGAGACTTCAATGAAATGACAACAAGGCACAACGCTTAGTCATCCTTGATTAAACCACAAAATAATTAAATCAAACAAGTCAATCCTACCCCGGTGAATGCATAATGCTTAATCACTACCCTTATTCTTTCATAGTTCATGCATTATATTTACATGACCTATTATTTTTGAAAAATTTGTTGCCTAGACTGAGGATAGGGAGATGATCCAAGAATAAGAGACAGATTTAAGCTTACATGTTCATCTGGGACTTGTGCAATTTCCAGGAGCTGCATTAAAGAATAAACAATAAATGTCACTCAATAGTGATGTTCTTGATGTTTCAATTGATTTTAATTTTCTTATTTCTTTTGAGGGGATGGATTCTTTTATTTCTTTTCTGAAATAATCAGATAAAATCTTGGTTGTAAAAGAATTAAATCAGCAAAATCACATGCCTGAACCCTTCCTTCATAAGAAATCAAAGTGCCACCCTTTACATCAGCTAATGTTTTGGGAGTGACCTGCATCATAAACACAGGGAAAAAAATTGAAATAGTGCAAAGTGTAAAATAAAAGGAAGTTACTTGATTACAACCATCTTTCCTTACCTCCATACAGTATTCATTCTCGTTTTGGATCAAGTGATTTAATATTTCTAAATCAATGAGTCAAGATCACTAATGGCACTAAAGACATACTTTGTATGTATAAATAATAAGCAATACAGCCAAAAATAATTGAGAGAGAGAGAGGGAGAACAAATGAAAACTTAAATAAGGATACTCAAGTCAACTATAGCTCCCAAGTTATCCGAATTGGCAACAAACACATACTCTTTACCCTGTAAGAACAAAAGGAAAATAAAATATATAGTGATGATAATTGATAAATAATGATTATGAAAAAAATAATGATAAAAATAAATAAATAAAAGACAGTCCAACTAGAAACAAGTTAAGCTCTGGGATAAACCTGTGACAATAGTGCATCAAGTTTGCCACTGTTCATCAATGATGGGAAGACATCCCCATGGCCAGGAGGGTACCTATGGATATAAATTACCCATAAGTCAAACTTAAAACTTAATTAGCAGATAAGCTCAATATTAGTTTCAACAGTCTTGAACACTCTGGTTAAAACAATCATAAGGCATTGGTACCACTTCCAACATAACCAATATGATTTACTTGGGTCTAAGACATATTATTAATATGATAATACTTTTAAATGACATATAGCAAACATCAAACTATGTGGCAAATCGTATCCCCCGTTATGCAATTGGGATTTAACCTAGCAAATCTCATGCTCATTGCAAGCATGTAAATTCTGGCCCAAAAAGTTTGAGGAATGTCAAAAACAGTCTTTGCAAAGTATCAATATTACCACAAGTTAAATCCAGACCAATTATTGTCAAGATGGGATATATGGAGTTTAAGTGCTGGATAGAATGGAGGCAAACCAGAAACAATAAATTCAGTTGGATGAACCTCAAATGGTGGATAAGCATAATTGCTAATGAAGGGAATTCAGTTTCAAAAATGAGTTAATTATCCAAAAGGTAAGGGAATAAAGAGGATCTTACTATAACTCTTCATATTAATTGATGAAGTCAAAAACTTAGACTCCTTAAATTTGGCCAACAAGATAAAACTTCATAAAGGAGATTTATTAGTTACTTAAGAAAAGCTTTGATTTATGGGCATAAACCTTTGACTACATAGTTTTCAATAAATAACAAGTAACATTTATTTTATAATATTTATTTAAAAAATAAAATTATGTACAACAATTTTATATTATAAACTAAATTATTTAATTATAAATAAATCAATGATAATAATTTTTTATTTAAAGTTTGTATGATTGGTAGATATGTTTCAATAACATTGCAAAATAATAATGACTATTTAAAAACAAAGAGGATATACATTAGATTAGAAATATTTCAAATATAAAAAAATAATTTCGAGTACAGATCATAAAATTAAAAATAATGTCAATTTTTATCAGCCCAAATTGGGGTTATTTCTGTGAATTCCATTTTAGTTTTTATACTATAATGTTAATTTAAAGATATTTAGTCTTTTTCTTCTTCTTGGTACCAAAGATATATGAATTTGTCCAAAGGTTTCTTCTGTCAGCTATTTCTTTTTCCAGAAAGAACAGTTTTACAATAGTTTGACACTTGAAGACAAAATCAAGCGGGGGGTGGGGGGACACAGAACTTCGGCAATTCAAAATATGTACACTCAACAATCCTGTGTTATGCCACATCTTTGAAAATATAGTAGCAGTGTCAATCATAGTACTGAGCAAATATCAAGTAAAAATCCATAAATAGGACACCTGATTGGTAAAAATATATGAAAAAAAAGATGAAGAATTTTGCATGTCATGAATGACACTATAATGCTCATATACCAAGTACTCTAAACTATGTTAGGAGCCTTACAAGTTCGTTTGAGTATTTTCATCGATTAGATTTATATCTAATTTATCCATGTAATGTTTTATCAGGGCGAATTCAACAGAAGAAAGACATAAATCTAGTGAAGGTTGTGAAATCAGTGCAATAATATAGTCTTGTATAAAATACACAGATGAAGTCATACCACCCATCCTTGCCAGCGTGCCCTTTGGAAGGCAATGGCAAAAAGTCCTCAACGACCAATCGAGGATACTGGCTCTGCATAAATTAGAATAGTGCAATAAAATGTCAAAACAAAAAATAAAATTTCAAACTACAGAAAATCCATATGATATAAAAGCAAGAAATCAGAGTTACAAACCTGGTTAAAAGTATGAATCTCAATATTTGAGTTTTGGTATTTTTCAATAATCTACAAACAGTGATGTTGTTAGTTTTACATGCAAATTCAGATTATAATTCTACTCAGCGTAGGGAATAAAAGCTAAAGGACAAGTACCTTCTGAGTGTCATCATGAGTGTTGAATGAGTTCATCAAGAGCAAAGGAACATTGCTTCCATATTTGGAATTGAGATTCTACAACAATTTAAGTTATCAGTGGAAAGTTACATGAACGGGGGAAAATGTAAAGTCCAAGCAAAAGAAGGACCCAAAAATAACCTCAATTTGGATGACAATTAAATCTAGAAATGTCAACCCATCACGAACTTCGATGACCGATCTGCATTTCAGTTACATACAAATCAAGACTTAAATATAGATACAGGTTGCCAAAAATGGTTGTTTAACATAATTATCCTTTCGGAAATTTTTATCCCAGTACAGGCCATCGAATTACTTTTCAATATGTTGAAAAATAGTTGACATTATTGTTTCTTTAGTAAAAGGAGGCACATAGATTTGATTTGAACAAAATGCCATGGAACACACCTAGATGCATTGACCATATATATCTTTCTGATCAGAATCGAGTAACAAAAACAAAAGATTAACAATAAATGAAAATCACATACATGATCTTAATCCTAAATCTCGATTGAAAATTCCTGCTATTTAAAACAAAGATTAATTAATATATGCAATCAGGCACAGGCATACTTAGGACCAGTGCAACCCATAGTTGTTCCCAGGCCTCCGTTAAGTTTCAACACCACAAGTTTGTCCAAGAGGCTCTTTACTTCTGAAGAACCTGCACCAATTTCGTTTCACATGAACACACTTAACTCTATTACAACATCAAATCGACCAAATCAAACAGAGCGCAACGGTTTGCTACCATCAGGAGTTGGCGCCAAACTGTCATAAGGCACAACCACTTCATCGGTAGGCGTCTGGATCTTACTCCATTCCACATGCTGCGCTTCGCCACTGCAACACATTCAAAAGAATATAGCTGATCAGAAGGAAAAAAAACAAAACGAATTGCAAAGATCAGCAATAAGCACGAATGTGAAGCTCGAGAGGTTCGGTCGCTGTGATTCACCTGAGATAGCGAGAGACGAGGTTGATGAATCCGTTCTTCTCATTCTCACTGCAAGGAACAACACTAATCAGATTCCGATCCGAGATCGCAAAGTCCATTCACGGTTTCACGCGAGAATGGAAATGAAGGAAGATAACGAAGGAAAACAAAATCTGAACGATTTGAATTGAGAGAATGTGAGACCTGATTTCGGTCAATTGAGCAACAGCGGATTGGAGAGCGGGGAGCTTCTCGGTAGCAGTGGCCATTGCAATGGAAGGTTCCAGAGCTTATGTGTGGAGAGAATAGAGCGAGAAAGTGAAGAGATGGTGGTGGATACAGAATAGAAGAGAGGGTGTGGTGGTGCTTGTAGAAATTGACACGAGAACAAAACGCCAGCGTTGTTATTTTAGGACAGAATATGCTTGCATTGCACCCCCAATATGTATATATCGGGGACACTTCTTTCGTCTGATGCATCTCGTCCAATCGCGGAAAAGAGTGGCCCGTCTTTCACGCTACCTGTAAGAGTGCAAGGTTAGAATATTTGTTTGCTTTTTATTTTTATTTTTTCTCTAGAGTGGGATTTTCCGGTGGGCTATGTTGGTTTAGGTGTGGGCTTCTTTTACCCAAAAGAAAATAAAAGGGAATTTAGAACAGTCTCTGCAAGGAAATAGAATTTAGAAGGAAAAAAAAATGAAGAATCACTCATCATTATTTAAGTGATTCAGAGCTTAAACATGTAAGAAAAGTAACGGAGTTTGATAGCAAAAACATTCTCCATCTTATTTTGTTTTGTACCCCTCCTCCTCCAGCCCTAGACTAAAAAAAGAATTAGAAGCTTCTGTTGGTAAAAGATATGTAAGAGTTTCTCATATGTATAAAAGAACATTACAAATTCTGGACCTTCCAATTCCAAGTTAACTTTTTGGTATATGAATTTTTCGGATGAAATACGAGAGACGAGAGTCAAATTAATTTTTATACCAAGAAAAGAGACTCGTGAATTAACCGTGTTACATAAAAGAGTGTTTAGTAATATAAGTTTGTAACTTATTTAAAAATTTGCAATTTATTGTTATTCTATGAGTTAAATAGAGTTATTTAATAAAAAATACAACTTATAAAATATTTAATTTAAATTTAAATTAAATTTTTTGAAAATTAGTTACCAATAATTTTTATTTATTTTTAGTCTTAACTTTTAAATATTTTTCTCACATAGTGGTTGCAATCCTAAGAAAATCATTTCCTCTACTCTCTCATCACACAAAGACTATTCTCACCCTTTTTTGATCATTTGATTTCATTTAATTAATTGATTGATGATAAATAAATAATATTTAATTTCAATATTATATTAATATGATATTATATATATTTTTAAACACTTCTAATTAAATTAGTTCATTATACACATACAAACTTCAAGTTAATTTCACATTTATAAGTAACAAGCTACAAAATTATAAGTTTTAGCTAATTTTATTTATAAAATATATATAGAATTTGTAGTTTTCAAATATTAATTCTCTGTGTGTTATTATATTTTTTTGTTTTTTTGTATAATAAATAATTGGAAGATGTTTTAAAATATAATTAGATGCAAAATAAAAGGATAAATTATTATTTTTTTGTCTGATAAATTTTGCGTAAAGTAGGATTCGAACTTCTTCATTTGAACTAACACTTGCTTCATTTTATCGGTTTAGTCAGTGTGGACATGGAATTAATTTTTCATATCATATTAAAATTCAAGGTAGGTAAATGTCAAATACTATTGTATAAAATTATTCAAATATCAACATAAAATTGCAAAATATCTCGTGGTACATATTTTCAATTAATTTTACATAAAATATAATTTTAGACTCATACATGTATATAATATGTATCGAGGAAGGTAGCATTCGAATTGACTTTCTTGGATCTAAAATTTATTTTGAAGTTAAATTAAAATCAGATCTTCAAAATCATAGTTAATTTAAACTACTATCACAAAAATAAAATATCACGAACGATGGGACATTTGAAAAAAAAAAGTTTAGCGATAAGAAGTATGAAAAATAAGTAGAGAAAATATATAATTTTAAAAAATATATATAAATTATCTATTTATATACAAATTTTTATGATATAAATTTTTTTTATCTCTAGTTCTATTTATAAAAAAAACCTAATTCATTAATATTTATAAAAAGTAGTTAACATAATAAATTTATATTTTATTTCAAAAATATTTATATATTAATTTATTAAAATCGTGTATCATATCTTAAATGAATAGATTATTTACTTTTACCAGTAAAGGGTGAGTATTTAGTTAACACTTCTTACAGAATTAAAGTAAATAAGAGTTTAAAAAACTTAATAATTAATACATTTAAAAAGGAATCTTTATTTCTTATATTTAAGAAAAAAATTGATAGTTATTTTTAATAAATAAAATAAAAAGTAGTATTATTTAAAGTTGTCATAAAGATTAACTATTTTCTAAACAAACATTGTTATATGCGTGTAAGAAATGGGCAATTTTTAAAAGAAAATAATCTAACCAAATCATTTTTCACTGACCATTTTATTTTGTCACGTTGACGTAAGGTAAGTATGTGTACTTGAGCCAATGGATTTAGAAATAAATAGTATTACCAACCTTGAATTGGAATCCTTGTGATGTCAATTTCATCTTTAACCCCTTTAGTTCTTTATACTGTTTGGGATTTAAAATTGTATTTTCACTTTCATGGAATTAGAAGCGCATAAAGTCTTTGAAGGACATCAAAGAGAGTGGATGTCTGTCAACTTGTGTTATTCAAAAATCAAAATCAACGTTGCAAATGTTTGGCAAATGGTTATTGGTCATAAAAGATGTGAGTTGGATATGTTTCTTCTTCCGGTCTCTGTGTGGATACCCTTTTCATGGTGCTAACATTATCTTTTACCTCTCTTTTTTTAATTTTTTCGTGTTAGGTGAATCTTTCACTTTTTTAGTTAAGGGTGAAACTATACAACACTTTCGAACGTGCTCGCATGCCAATGATCCCTGGTTTGAGAATGAATTGACATGTATTGTTTAGTTGCCCCGTCGTGACTGGATTGCTCGAGAAATTCAGGTATTGAGAGAGAGAGAGAGAGTCTTTAACGTTATGGCAGATACGCTCTGTTTGGCCTTTTACGTCCTAATATTCTATTTTTGGCTAGTTAAGACAAATGTTAGAAATTTGGAACCTAGAGCAGAACTAAATACTCAGGTGAATACTTTTTTTTTTTCTATATTTTTTACAATAATTGTTTATCATAAATTTTTTATTTTTGAAAAATTCGTTTCTTTAAAATTAAGCTAAAATACATATGCATGTGACTTGAAGCAGTTTAAACAAACTTCAAAATTTTTTTCTTTTTACAAAAACAAAGTAAGAAAGTAAATTAAATTAACATTTTCTCACTAATTAAAATCAAGCTTCTCCAAAAGGTGATTTACATCAGATAATTATAATTTATAAAAATTTATTTTACTTTTTTCTTATAAATACTTGTTAAAAAAATATAAAATCAACCTTAAAGCAAAATATTTTTAAAATAATAAGTTTGATTGAAGAAAATTTACGTTAAATAAGAGTAAAAAATTTAAACAAGATAAACATAATAAATAAGTACAGCTTAATAATATTGAAGTTTTAGGTAAATATAACATTCAATGTATCTCTATATAATTCATCCGTAGTCTATTAATAGACATCTCTTTAATATTTTAAATCTTTTTGTTTGCTAAAAATATTAACTAAATGACTTGACTGGAAGTGAGCCTTCAAAGCTCACACTCTTGTGAAATGTATTATCAATGGTTTGACTAAATTTATTGCACTTTATCTTACCAAAGTGCTCAACTTCTAAATCAACCATTAAAACTCATCATATTTTTAAAAGAAAACTTGTTTTGATTATTTATATTATATTCTTGTTTAAATGTTCACCTGCTCTCCCATGCAAATGTTGACACGAGGAAATGCATTTTCTTTCTTAGAATATTACTTTCTTTCATAAAAAGAACCGTATTACATAGAGTCAGCTCATCCATAAAGCAAGTAAAGCCATTGCTTTATATAAGTCCTTAAAAAAATATTTAAAAAATATTGACTAATAATAAATAAAAGAAAGAGCAAAATATATTTTAAATATTTTATCTCAAAATTATTTAAAACTTATTTAAGATTAACTATATCTCAATAAATGTTAAATAAATCAATTTTATTGTCAACTAAGAAAAAATGGTAAATAAAAATAACTAGGATATATTAGTGAATAATTTTATATCTGAAAAATTTTGAAGAGAAAATTTAAATAAAATTATAATAGTTTTAAAAAATAATTTAATTAATTTAAAAGGTCTCGTTTTAAAAATTGTTTTATTTTAAGCGTAAATATACGCAAGGCATCCCTGACAAGACTTTTTATGACTATATTATCATTGTAATTATATTGAAGATCTATAAACCAAAATGTATTTCTTTAAAAAATAGTTTAGTGTGGCAAAGGCTGATATTTATATAATTGTAATGTTCTAAGAAGTATGATGTGCTTCCAAGTGCTGCTTTGGCATACCATTGATGTCCAACGCCTTAGTTCTAAAACCTTGATATTCTAGCATTGATTATGAGATGTTTGGTACGTGTACTTTTGTATTGATCTTCCGAGGAGAATTTTGTCAATAATTCCACACTTGGTGGCTTGATTATATGATATGCATTAGCGTTATAAATATACTCATACAACAAAGAAAAATATTCACTAATGTTTGTTAGATAAGCTTGAATTTGTGAAGCCTCAAATTAACATGCAGCTAGAAAAATTGAGCTATTCATATGTAAAATCTCAATTTCTCTTTGATAATAGACTGAATAAAGATTTGTTGATTTTTGTTGTATCATAACGAGAAAAGGAAATTATAGGCTTAAAAATTTACAATTTTTACAATTTTTTAATATGTGTAATATTGTATAAAATAAAAATTTATATATAATAGAAAATTATTATATTTAATAATATCCTTATATTGAATTGCATTAACTTCTATAACTTTCAATAAATAAATTATTATATATAACTCTTATTTCATGTAATAATACACAGATTAAAAAATTTCTTTTACTAATCATTTTATTTATACAAGTTTTGTTTTAAGTTTGGGACTAAAAGACGTGAATCCTAAATCTGAAAGTTTTAAATTTACAAATATAAATAAGTTGAACATAATTTCACTCTGTTACATTTTTTAAACAACTTTTGTCATATGTTTGGAGTAATTACTTATATTTATATTATAATGGCTTAAAGGCAATATCAACAAATATTAATTCAATATTATATATGCTTGGAGAAATTGCTTATATTTATAATGACTTAAAGGCAAGATCAACAAATTTTGATTCAATATTATAATTAAGTTGTGTTAGGTAAACGTAATTTATAACTTATTTAGTAATTTATAGTTTATTAATTTAGTTAATAATTTTATAGACTTGTTTAATAAATATAAGATGAAATGAGTTAATATTTTTAAAATTTAACTTTTTAAAAGATATTTAAAGAAGTGATTAAATTTCAAAAATTAATTACTAATATTTTTATTTTTCATTTTAAAAAAAAATAATTTACTCATCACACACTTAAAACCTTAAAACCTTATGTACACAAGTAGTTAGTTTTTTTTTCTCTTCTACTTCACGTAGTTACATTTTTTATTTATTTACTCATTTATCTCTTTTTTTTAAATATATTTTACTTTAAAAAAGTATGACTTAAATTATTTTAAATTTAAATATATATATGAATAAAATTTTATTTATTATATGATTATTTAATTAACTAATTAATAATAAATAAACAAAATAAATTCGAAACTTTTATTTTATTATGAAAACTAACAGTGTGAACATTTTCTTGTGGCTTTAACTTTTAACTGCTCTGTTTTTGTACATTTTGATATTATATTTTATAATTTCAACAAGGGACGAAAATAAATTAAGCTCCGGAGAAAGATTATAGGACATAGCCGCGCGCATTAGTTTAGGCTAATTTATATCAGTTAAACAATTTTAAAAGTCCATTTAGTTAAATTAAAGGTAAAAATTTAGGCCACTCAGTTTTTTAAAAGTTTAATAAATCATATTGTTTAACAATATCAATACATTTATTATTAACTGTTATTATTATTATTATTATTATATTAAGTTTATTCTAATGTTTAAAATTATATATTTATTAGTTTATTTAAAAGTTTAAATTCATAGGTTAACGTTAAGTTAAGGACGACCACTAACTTATTCAAAACTTTGTTAATCTATCTATAAAATAAAATGAGCTTTCATATACGCTTTCTTGTTATGTTAGACCTTAAAAGGTCTTGTATTAAATTAATTCCAATTTTAAATTTTATATATAAAGCCTAACTTAACCTAATAAATTGTATTTCCATTCCTAATTTTAACTTTGATTTGACTTAAAATATAACAGATAATATAGACATTTACATATGCTTAATGGCAAAGATCCTCATTAAAGATCTTATTTGATTTATCGTTTAAGTACTCTCTTTTTATCTTAATCATCATTTTTCAGAAAAGTTTTGAGAGGGATATTGTCTGAAAAGATATACCTATTTTTTGGATTTATTAAAATCATTCAAGTTGGCTTTAGCATTTATTAAATCGTTAAGTCTATTGTATTTCCGAAGAAAATACTAATTTTCTAGGTTGAAGGTCCTTTTTCACATCGCTGGAAATTTTATTTAATTTTTAAAAATAGTTGTGTAAGAGGATTATGTGGTCCACACTCCATACATATATATTTATTTCATAGCTTTTGTCTTCAACCTTAACTATGGATTTTCCAATTTGAATTTTAGCGACTAGATTATCTTAATTTGTTTTTAAATGGATGATAATTGATGGGAACTTGGAAGATGGTGAAAATATCACCTCAGAAGGGACTAGAGATTTTATTCACGGCTCTACCGCTGAGTAACTTTATATAGAAAACTAAAGCTTTGTTGTCACATCATATTTTATTTACTTGTAAACCTAGATTAGTTGTTGTTTTCCATGATTATTTGCTGTGGCACACGTTTTTTTTTCTTAGCTATATATGCTGGATTGTTTCTGTTAGTCTACACACGTATGTAGGAGATTGATGTAAATTATTTATTTGGCACCTGATTGAGTTTAGAGAGAAAAGGATATTAGACTGAAATAGATTTTAAAATGTGAAAATAATAATTTTAAAATAAAAATGTAATTTATATAAATTTTCAAAAAATCACTCACTAACTCCATATCAATAATCATAATTGTTTCTCTCAATTAACCGATCTTCGTAGAAATTATCTTAGTATATTAGTTAACATGATAAAAACTTTATCGAAAAATATCATTTACCACCTCCAAACCTTGCAATATACAAAAGAAAGATCTAAATTAAATAAAATTTTAATAATGAAGCCGACAACCATGGAATATAGAGGTAGCTAAGGCAGGTACATATGGTTTGTGTTGTCTTCCCTACCAGACACTTACTCCAGAGTTAGACCCGGAAACTGAATATCTGCCCAGACACACTGGCCCTCACACATTCAATTTCAATGTAGACTGCAACCTTCCACGTTCTGCTATAACCCTACACCTGCCTCTGTCCAGTATTCCATTAAAGTTTTCAAATGTATCTTTTGAAGAATTTTAAATCTGCTTAAAATATCAATACAATCAAAAGAAATAAACTACGGTAATTTTATTTTATTTTTTAAATTAATATTTAAAAATAAGAAGTTTAGGTTGATGTGTTTAAGAAAAGTAGTAATTTTTGTCGATCGGATACGGAATGTGACGTTTCTGCTTGTCAACCCATCGATGCAAACAAGAATTTAGAAAATAAAGAAAAGGCGAACAAAATGTTATGGCCACAAAATTGGGAAAGAAAAATAAAATAAAGGATTAAAAAAACGAGTGGTGTGGAACGATGTCTATCCCTTTCTTGGATGTACACGTGGCGGTGTTTTTATAATGGGGCGGCAAGTGGCAGTGACGTGGCGAAAAGCGCAAGGGAGAAAGTGACAGCCTCTATCCCTCGTCCTTTTTGATCCACAACTCTTGGCCAACCCTCACTCTCCTCTCTCTTTCTTCTTCGTTTCCTAATTTTTAAGATATTTTAACCCTTTTTCTTCTGCTCGCAAATATCCTCCCATTTTCATTTCATCACAATTCCAACCACACTCATTATTCATTATTTATTATCTATTGTTCTTTATTCCAATATTGCCCAACTTGTTTACCTGCATTGTTAGTTCACTTCCTACTCGCTCACTCAGCCTGACACCTGGCCCCTGTTATTTATGTATCCCCGTTGAAAATTTTCAGATCCTTCTCCTCGTTGGACTCAGTTTTTTTTTTGAAGAATATTTTTAAAAAGTCGTAATGTATTTTAATTATTCAAATTAAATTTAAAATAATTGTTGAATAAATTAATTATGCTGCTTTTAAATTCACGCATTTCTTTTTTTAAACACCAAACAGTTGTGTATACTAAATTTACTATTTTTTTAAAGTAATTAAATGGTTGAAAATTTTATCACATGAATGACTAAATGTTATTGTTCTTTTGAGTCCAATGTAAAAGATGAGTAGGTTCAATATTGTAAAAGTTCAAGCACAACAAACATTATTATATTGCTAATTTGAAAGAAGAAAACGAACTTTTTATTCAGTCAAACGTAGAATATTGTTTCTAAATCAATATCATTTATCAAATGAAAGGCGGATTATATGGTAGGTCAAAATCTGTTGCCAAACTACACAAAAGACAGAGAGATGTAAAACAAGGGAAAAAAATAGTGTTTATATTATATTATGCAATATGTAATATATATACATAATCAGTTTATTAATAGTATAAATAATTTTTTATTAATATTTGTTTCTATAAAAGCAAATATTTATGAACTAAAATTTAAAAATATTTGAAAAAAAAAGCTCCTAGTATTTTGAATTTGAACAATTCAAAACTTTGAAAAATGTGGTATTTAGTTTTACCCTGAAAAAACAAAAATGGTAAAATGGAAATTATCTGTACGAGAGCTGGGAAACAATGGCCACGCATTAATCATGATAAAGAGGCGTGGCAACTGTGAAAGTGCGAGTAGCAATGTAGCAATGGTACCCGCGAGTGTGCTGTGTCCGAAATTATCCACAACGCGCTGTGTGTTAGTTTTCTTTCGCCCACCCAATTATAAAACGAAACGAAATTGAAAAAATAAAATAAAAAGAAAAAGAAAAAAGCGAGAAACAGACAAGACAGCCGAACGCCACGTGTGGAGTACCTCTTTCGACTTGAGCCACAAGATTCCATCGACTTCTCGAGATTTCGATAAAATAAAAATAAAAATAAAAATAAAAATAAAAAGCATTTCTATTTTCTACGACAAAACAAAATTCAACATCTGATGTGGCATCCTCTCCTTGCTCCTTTTATTTTTTCTCCTTCACAATAGTCTCTTTCCCACTTGGCTTTTATATCTATCTACTCCTCTTCTTCTCTTCCTTATTCTCCTTCTTCTTCTGTAACCTTTTCAACTCTTCTCTCTCTGTTTCTCTCCATCACTAACACTTTCTTTTGAGCGTTTGATCAAGGTGACAATTCAGAGATGGTTGAGAAGCTGTTGTCATGTTTGTGTCCATTGTTTTGTGAAATATTCTTGTAGTTTTGAATGTCTCATCCATCCTTTTGTTTTCTAAACTACGAAACTATCTATAATTCAGCCTTTTTCCTTGGTGGATTTTTTGATTTTTTCTTCCTGGTGGACCGTTTCCTGGTTAATTATATCTGAGTCACTGTTGCTGCTATACACTGCTTCATCTTTCTCTACCTTGAGATTTGAATGGTTTTTGAGGTGATCGTGGCAAGAGACTTTTGATTTGGGGTGGAAAAATCCATGCAGTGTATTCAGGAGACTGAGTTTGATGGTTCAAGCTTTTGCGGTGCATCATCACTGGATCTTACGCTTGAAGGGTTTCTTAGATTCTGAGGTGAAAGTGTTGGATAAAGAGAAGAGACGTGGCAGTGTTTTCGTGCTAAGAGAAGTCCATTTTTGTACAGAATTTGCTGATTCTGGTGGTATATTGAAGAAGGGGAAGCAGTATGGAGTTTTGTGATTTTTTTGTTTGTGTTAATACTGTTCAGGACGTTGAATACAAGGAAGGATAAGTTTTACTATTCTGGTGTTCTGTGACTGTGGATAAGGAAAGGTAGTAACAGCCAACCGCAGAGTTGAAGAAAGTTTGGAGAGGATTTCACCGTATGCCTATTCAAGTATGTGAATATGATTTTCTCTTTTGTTTTAACCTTTGGTATAAAATATTTGATGCTATGGGAAGTTTTTATGAGTGACCTGAGATTGTTATTTGTTTTTATTGTACTTTTTTGTGTTATGTTTTGCTTTGTATTTCCAGCTAAATATTCTTCCTATTTGGGTATATTATGTTTGGTTCTGTTTTTGAAAAAGAAATGAAAAAAGATGGAACCGTAAAATTTAATTATAATTTGGTTTACCTTTTTCAGATGCCAAATATGCATAGATTTTAATTTTATAAATGGGATAATTTTTTAAAATTACGCTCTTGAAAAAGTAACTTAAGTTTTAAATGCTTCAGCTTCAGTTAACAGTGTGCTATGAACACGATGCCTGTATGAAGTCTTATGAATGATCTAAACTTCATCAATGGTGGAATTTTTCTCTTTAAAAAATAAACAAAAACACCAAGAGGGCCATTTCGATGGAGGAATTGTGATATTTGATTGATCTTTACTTCGTGTCTTCTTGTGGAGTGAAAGGTTCACTTCACTTAAGAGTTAAATGATTCATTGGTGAATAACTCCTTTTTGGTTATGATTTCATTTTAAGTCTACTTGAATTGTCTATTATAAGAAAATTTTCATTTTCTTCTTGATTATTATATTATATTTATTTGCTATATGGATTGGATGCAGGGTCAAAATGCAGTTACTAGACCACGGGGTGGTCTTCCAGTTGGAAATGGAGTATCCTTGAATTCTGGAGTGCATTCTGTTGCACATATTCCACTAAATGATCAATTTTCTTGTGGAAACGACTATTCCCTGAAGGTAGTCCGTGGATTCTTGTGTACTTGTGTTATTTAATAAACTTTGATTTTCACCTCTTTGTCAGTGTCTCAATTTTCTATCAACTTCAATAGGTTAGGAAACCATATACTATCACAAAACAACGAGAGAGGTGGACAGATGAAGAACATAAGAAATTTCTTGAAGCTTTAAAGCTATATGGCAGGGCCTGGAGACGGATTGAAGGTATGATTAATTTATAATTTCCATATCTTAGGCAAGTGTGCCACAAAGATTGCAGCAAAAAAATATAAATTAGTAAATTAAGAAGTATGGTCTAAGTTTTTGGATCCTTTATTTTCACCACAGAACATGTTGGCACAAAGACTGCTGTTCAGATTCGAAGTCATGCTCAGAAGTTTTTTTCTAAGGTTTATTGCTCTATTCCAATACCCATAATCTACCATATTTTCGATATACCATGAACCATACTTTGTGTTAAAGTTGTTATGACCTTAGGAGATGCAAAAGTGCAAACTTCCTTGAGGTTCAAGTTGAAGGGATCATCTTAAACACACACTAAATCCTTTGTTTTAACATGGCAGATTCTTAGAGAGCCTAGTGGGAACAATACTACAACCTTGGAGGAATCAATTGAAATTCCTCCTCCACGACCAAAACGGAAGCCAATTCATCCTTACCCACGTAAACTTGTAGAGATCCTAAAGAAAGAAATTTCCAAATCAGAACAGTTACTGAGGTCTAATTCTCTGAAATCATCAGATTTTGGTCAAGAAAACAACTCTCCCAAGTCAGTGTTGTCCACCGTTGTTTCAGACACACTTGGTTCCTCCAATTCAGACACACCAACTAGAAGTTTGTCTCCAGTCTCATCCATTAGCGGTGTCCACCCAAGCAACTTTCCACTTGCTGAAACCAAGACATTATTTGAGGAAGATGGGTCTCCAACACAAGATGGACTAAATGCTAGTTTTGCTCATGATGATCAACCTCTTGTGGTACTTTTTAAATCCTAATATATTTCATTTTTAAAACTATGATAATATAATCACATGAATAGTTTTGAGAAAATGATGTATGATTTTATGTTCTTATGTTTGACTCTTATGTCTAGAAACTGGAGCTTTTTCACAAAGAAAGTGTTTCTACCAAACATGATACAACAGAAGAATCATGTGGCCGAACTCTCAAACTGTTTGGGACAACTCTATTAGTAACAGAAACCTGCAAACCTACAATGGAGGCATGCAAACCAATACCTGCTGTGTGTCTTATGCAACTTCAGATTGGATGTTCAGATATTGCAGAAGGTCATGCAACTATTGTTCCTTGGTGGACTCTTTCCCACAATAAACCATTCATGAAAGACTCTGAGGCAAAACAACATCTATATTCTAATATTGGAGAGTTTGAAAATGAAGAAGTTCTAAAGGAAGGATCTTGGACTGGCTCAAACACTAGTTCAATTAATGATGGGGATAACAATGAAAATTCAGATGATCAAGCCAAAAGTCTAGTGCATTGCTTTAGCAAAGGGGAAGAAAAGTTGGACCCTCTTGGACACACAAGACCAAGTGAAACATCGTCTATATTTGAGCAAAGGGTGAGAACTAAAACCTGTGGGAAAGGGTTTGTACCATATAAAAGGTGCATGGCAGAGAGAGAAATGCAATTCCCACCAACCAATTATGAGGAGAGGGAAGAACAACGTATCAGGCTTTCCTTATAGTGCCCTATCATTGGTTTTTCTTCAAAGAAGTTCCCTTTTACATATATAAATCTTGTAGCTGGATGACCTTGTATGAGAAGAAAGAAAAGGGAGCTGAAAATTTTGATATTTCTAATGCATTGCATATCCTGGACAAGCCTTTCTTTGCCTATATATGAAAGCTTCAAGACTTTGGGGAAAACAAAGAATTATGGCCAGGTAGTATAGGCTTTTTGTATTTCTTCATATTCCTAATGCATTGCATATCCTGGACAAGCCTTTCTTTGCCTATATATGAAAGCTTCAAGACTTTGGAGAAAACAAAGAATTATGGCCAGGTAGTATAGGCTTTTTGTATTTCTTCATATTCTTTCTCCCACCTTCAACTGTGAATTATCCAGCACTTTTGTTTTTAGCCTTTTTTTTATGCTAATTGTCTTTAAACTGTAAGTTACATATTCGTGCAATGCTTATTAGCGTTGTTGTTCATATGTTATCAACTTCTCATAATTAATAATATATATCATGATGAAATCACTTCCTACAATGCATGTTGTGTGGACTGGACGTTGAAAGCAAGAAGGGCAATTGGCTCTAACATATGTTAAGGGTCGTTTGTTTTGATGTTGAATAAAATTAGATTTGATTACTTAAATGTGATTAAGATGTATATTTAAATTAATTTTAATTAAAAATTATACGTTGAAACGTGAGCTATTATGATATTTTGTTTGACGAACACATGCTAAGTAAAATAAATAGCATGGTGTATTGTGTGGCAGAAAATCAAACCCAAATGGGAGTGGGGTGGTTCACCAGATCGGAAGTAAAAGACAAAGTTATTGTTTTCCTGGGAATTTTTTTGGGTTCATGGATTTGTATTTTTTATTTTTTATTTCCTTTATAGCAACTCACGTGCATGTACTGTTAAAAGTGGAAGAAAGTTAATAATCTATCCCCATTTTCTGAGAAAGACATCTTTTAAGAGTTATTTAAAACTAAGATATTTTTAAGAATTATTAATATTTTCTTATTATACTATTCTATTTTTAATATTAAATATTTGACTTTAAATTTAATTTAATTTTTATAATTTATTATATTTTTAAAAAATTATTTTAATTTAATATTACATCATATAATAAAATATTGATTTGAATATAAAAATATAAATTTATAAAAATTATTAAAAATAATAATTTTATTAAAATTATTTATTTATATCTTGTATTTTAATGTGATAAATAATATTTTTCAATAAAATTTTATTACTTTTGGATGTTTAAAATTAATTGAATGTCAACATTTTTATTTCCTAAACATGAATTATTAGTTTTTATTTTATTAATTTCAATCATTAATTTTTTGTATTCTTGTTTTTTTTAATTACTCTTTGTCCTTTAAATTTAAGTTACTTGTATAATTTTAAACTATTTAAAGTAAAAATGTTTTGTATTATATCGAAATTCACCAGTAACTTTCACCTGTATTTTGACAGGTAATATCTCTAAAATTTCCATATATCGATACTTGTACAGCTTTAAATCAGAAAGGCCTCTTTATGTAACTTAAGAGCATTGTTTTTGTTTGATTTTTATTATTAGTGGGTTTTAATATCTGACCCTTTAAACGGGTAGAGTTACCTTTGATCCCGAATTTTTTTTAAATGGAATAAATAATTTTTTTAATTAATATCAGTATTAATTATTATATTTTCTGTCAGCCTTTGTTTGACAGAAAAAAGAAAATAATAAAAAAGAGAAAATAGAAAAAAAATGAAACTAAACTATATGTTTTCTTCTTCTCCTTTGTTTATATGAAAAGAAAAGAAAAGAAAACGGATATGAAAGAAAAAAATATATAAATCAAAATTACATCCGTAACCTTGTACATATCTTAAGATCCAATAGTTTTTAAACACTTAGATGCACGAAATGAAGAAAAATTAAATGGTGTGACAATGACGGCATAGCTGGACAAAGCTCAACGATAAAATAAAACTTGCATTCCATGCTTATAATGAAAACCCTCTGATCTTTTTCATTTGAAATATACACCTATCCACAAGTTTTCTGTCATAAGGGAGAAAGTACAGAAAAAAGTTTTAAAGACCCACCAAAACTTCTTTCCTTCACTTTTCATATGCAAACAAAATGGATGAAATTTTTTTTTTCTCTTCCTTTTCTTACCTCTCATTTTCTTTCCTATTAAATTAAAAAAATAAAATCAAAGAAAGTGTAAATATTTCTTCTGCTAACATTTTTTTGGTTTAATTGGATAACTTTATAACCCAATGTCATGTCCATCTATCTATACTAAATAATAAATAATGTATTCAAATAAAAATTAACTAATCACTTAATAATTTAGATATGAGTGCTCCTACAATGCTATATATGATTTTGAAGTTCTTGACTCATGTATATCCACATAGTTATGTCTTCAGAAACTTGAATGTCCCTAACTTTTATCTGTTATCCCAATTCCTCTTCCTTTTCATGTGTCCCTTTCTAACGTTTGTCAATTAATGGCACCTTTGGGTTAATTTGATACAGTTGGAAATGAATGGAAAAGCACAATTAGATTGAGGAGATAAGACTCTAAGGGGGACATGAGCTTTAGGCGGTGAGGAATTGTAGGCTTCAAAATGCAGTTGATTTATGCTTCTCTCTGTGGATTATTAATCAGATTCTCAAACATTATTACAACTCACATCACTCATACAATCCTCATTTTCATCATCACTGCCTTACAACTCAGCTATGTTATAGTCAATGACTTGTCCCACCTTATTGGGTAATCCAATCAATTATGAGGGAAATGTACTGTCTAGCTTTGGTAGCTTTTGAGGCAAATTTTGACTCATAATTAGTCCTTTCGGATGGTGGCTCTGTTTATTTGTTTTAGAAGAAATATTTTTAAAAATTCTAAATTATAGAAAATGGGGCAAGTTTTTTAAAATTAAATATTTTGATAAAAAAAATCATCATGTGTTTTTTTTTTTCTTATTTAAACAAATCAACTATGCATGTGTAAAAAATTGCACCTGAATGTATGTAAAAACAATGACAGCTAATTTGAATTTAAATTACATGAATTGCGTATAAAGCATTACAACCCCATTTGATGATATACTACCATATTATTTAGTAAGTATAGCAATATGTAATGTCGTGCTTGTCAAATAAAATAGTTATACGTTATTAAATGATAATTATTATATATTTTTTAATGCGTATAGTGCACCATAGTTTTATATAGTTTTTTTTTAAATTAATAGCTTTTTTCCTTAAAGGTATTGTTTTCTGTTTAAATTATGTATTATTTTAATTTCTCAATTTTTTAATTAATTAAGTATTTGGATTTTAATAATTAAGTAATTTTGATCATCCGATAATTCATTTCTACCTAAGCTAGTTTATTTGATTAGTTTAAAAGTTTGTTTTACTAAATTAAATATATTCGATAGAGGAGATTATTTTGTTGGCTTGAAACCTTTGAAGTTATAAGTTCTTCACTTTTTCCTTTATATTTTTATTTTCACCATTTATTATAGTTTCTCTTTTACCTTTTATAATTCCATAAATCTTAGAAATACACTCTCTTCGTAACTTAAATTTTTATTTTTATTTCTAATATAAAATTATCAAATTAATGTTATAAAATATTTATATTATCTAATTCTATTTAATAAAAGAACTTTAAATGAGAACAAAACTAAAAACTATTATACAAAATACATCAACTAATTTTATTAAATACTTTAAATTTAAACAGTTGACTTAATAACTTTCGACTGTTTTCTAGATTTTCAACTGATTTATCCACTGATTTTATCAAACAAATATATAATTAAAAATAAATGGATAAGCAAAGCATGAGGATTGTAAATTCAACTTATTTTTTAAGTGTAAATTACATGTATTTTTAAGAGACAATTTTATTGGAATTTATTTTTTTATAATTATATCTTGATCTGTAATTTAATTTTAATTGATCTTTAAATTTTATCAATTTTATAAATAGACACCAGAAATTTTAATTTTATTATAATCAATCTTTAAACATGGTCACTGTTACAAATAGCTCCGTCTATAAATTAAGTTAGAAATAAAATGTTGATAAAAAAATATTTATTTGTCTTAAATTTTAGTCATTTGTTAAATTTTTGGTTGTGCCTCATTTTTCTAAATATCAAAATATAATAAAAATTTTGAATTCAAGAAAAATGAACCACAAAAGAAAAACTAATGAAAAAAAAATACCATATACAATATCATAATAACAGTAACAATAACATGATAATAATCATTTTCAGGGGAAAATAAGTAAAAATTAATTTTTTTATTGTGTTAATATGTCTAGAAAACAAACATAACAGAGAAATGATTAGGATTTAAAGTAAATGAATAATTAATTTTTTATTCATATTTTAATTCTAACTTAATTTAAAAAAATGATGCAAAAAGAATAAAGTTTAAGGTGTTTTTTTTTTTTTTGGTAGAGAAAGTTTAAGGTGTTTAATTATAAAAGTTAAAAATATATTAAAATAAAATTAAAATTTAGGATATCTAATTACAAAATGTAATGTTTAAAGATTAATTAAAATAAAACTAAAGTTCAAAATATTTATTTACCAAAAAGAAATAAGCTAAATACTCTTCTGTTTTCTTTTTTCAATGCCTTAGTTTTTACAGAGTCAATAGAAATTAGAGTGTAGCGCTTTTAAAAACCAGACTTGTCGTTATGGAGCGGTGTTGTATTCAAGTTTTAAAAACATAATATTTCTAATGTGGGTTGGATTTGGATTTAGATTGGGCCAACAATCCCATTAAATGAAAAAGCCTTTTGTGACAGTGGATTGTTAAATTAGGTTCCAGATCTGTCATGGTCCATGGAATCATCATTTTCTTTTTTAAAAATTATCACATTGATACATTTTGATTTCAGTTTGTTTACAATTTAAAAGTTATTTCTGTTTTAATGATTTTTTAGCAAAATTTTACTAAAAATTATAATATTTAATGATATAATTATATTAATTTTTATAATATTATATAATTTATAATAAAATTTAATTGTACATAAGCCGTCAAACCCATTAAGAAAACTATAAAAAAAAGTAAAAATTCAATAATTGAGAATAGTGCAATTAATTTATATTTTCATTTCCTAATAATGTCATCACTAATTTTTAAAAAAATTTAAAAGTATTGAAATAAAAAATATTTAAATTAACGATTATATATATATATTACTTACGATACGTTGCATGATTAAAAAAAAATTAAAGTGTAAACTTAATAATTTTTTTTGTTAAAAAGTTATTCATTTTTTCTTTAATAGGCCCTTTAGTTGATCCTTTTTATGCATAAATTTATAACTTTATTGGGGCCTACTGCTTCATCATTGTAACTGACATTAACACTGCCTATGGTAATTTTAAGTTCATTACACTCGTTAGAGGTAAAATAAGCTTGGTTTTAGAGGGAAAAAAAATTAATCTGATGCTATTATAAACCCAAAACTTTTTAAATGAAATCTATATATTATTAAATGCAATTAATTTACATGTCAAGTAAAATATTATTAGATACAATCAACTATTTAATAAATTAAAATGAGTAATTTTAACTTTTAATATTAATTAATTTTGTAATTTAAATAATTTTATATTTTAATTTATATCTTATTTTGATTTTTTTGTTTTTCATGATTTTTTAATTTATAAAATTAAGTCTTTAATCTTATTATTTTTAATTTGGCAAGAAAACTAAGCTGAATTTTTTTTACACTTTCAAGGTTGTATAAATTTTCTATCATTAATTTTAATTATTCATATTAATTTTTTTTCAGTCTCACTTTAACTCCTAGACAATTTTTTTTTATAAAGCCAAGATATTTCTTGAAAATGTCATATAAAAATATCTAACACCAATCGAACTTACCTTAATCATTGAATGCTCTAACGTGTTAATTTTTTAAAGAAAAATCTGCAATTGTTTTAATTTTTAAAATAAGTTATCTGCATAAAATTCAATAAAGATAATATATAAAAATTAAACGATATAATTAAGTCTTCAATCTTTTGTAAAGTAAAAAGAGTACAACTGTAACAGGTCAAAGGTTAGTCAAAATTTGCTGTTAATTGTTAGGTAGAATTTAAGGTTAATGACCTAATTTTATCAATTAAAAAACATGAGAATTTTACGCAACTTATTAAAATAAAGAGACTAAAACTTACATACAAAATATAAAAATGAAAAAGTATGACGAAGGATTGCTTTTAAAAAGATTTATTAATTTCTTTCATTTTCTTTCAAAAATATTTAATGTCTAATTATCAGTTAAAATTTATATTTAAAAACACTGAAAGCTTATAATTTAAATTAAAATTGTAATTTGTAGTTCATACACTAAACCAAAAAGTTAGATATGCTATTATATATTTTTTTCTCATTCAATATTTAACCAATCAGTTATAGTTGCTTCTCTCATCTGGATATTTCAATGTGACCAGTAATCTTTGATCATTACCAAATAAAAGTTTAAGAAAAGTGGTCCCCTTCCAGATTAGAGATCTTATCATACATGAATACCAATTACTGTCGTTTACTCCACCCATGTTACATAATACTTTAAAATAAAGGGAATAAAGGAATAAAAGCTATATTTGCTTTCTTTTAAAAAATCAATAAATTATGACAAGTTTAGAGATTTTATCTTTGGTTCTGATTAGAGAGAGATTATTTAGCTCGTGCATGTTTAGATGGGCATTATTAAAAGTTTTTAAACACAAATTTAAAAATGTAAATATAATTTAAATTTTGTATCAACATATATAATGATTTTATAACATTATTGATTTCATATTTAATCTTATATTTAATTTGTTTTAAGAAATTATACTTAAGTATTAAATTTTAAAAAATATACTAAATTTTATTATAAATATATTTTCAAGAAATTAATTTATAAAATAAAATTAATTCAAACTTATTTACAAATGCTCAGTACCCACTCCCCATCTTCACTCGAAACGTGTGCATGCAAAATCATTTTCAACACTAACAGTCCATGCTAGTAGTTAGCATCATAAGATTTGCACAAAATTACAGGAAAGTATACGAAACACGATTGATAATACACATAAACAGGTAAAAATACATCAATTTTAACATTAATTATACATATCACACTTTTTTTTTGTGTTATTTTCACTATTTTTTTCAATCATAATTTAAAAAATTAAGAAATTTTATTAAACTTACATAATAAAGTTATTATTTGTCAAGACGAAATTTGATCCTACTCTCCTAAACACATATTTAGTAATGTATTTATATCTTTATAATAATGTTAAATAGATCTAAATATATTTTGATTATTTTGTCAAGATATTTAGTTGAGTTAAAAATAATTTTACCTTCAAACTAAAGGTTAAATAAATAAAATTATAAGTTTTAGATTGAATTAACTGTATAAAATCAAATTAATTGAATAATTTCACTTGTATGCTATGTTATTTTGGAAAAAGAAAAAGAAAAAGAAAAAGCTATATGGAGACAGAGGAAAGAACGGCAAGAAAAGAAGAGTGCAGTGTCGTCGGTTGCAAATAAAGAAACCCACACTCCATTCCTTTGCTTTGGAGAGGGAAATGACACTCGCAGTTGTGTCTGCGTTCACACTATCCATTCTCTTCACACTCTCTTCAAAAGCCACCGCTCACTACTCTTCCTCTTCTTCCCAGCCACCGTCTCTACAATCTTCTTCTTCGCCCTCCTTCTCCGAATGGCGATCTGCGCACGCCACCTATTACGCCGCCGCCGATCCCCGTGACGCGGTGGGAGGCGCGTGCGGCTACGGCGACCTGCTGAAGGGCGGCTACGGGATGGCGACGGTGGGGCTGAGCGAGACGCTGTTCGAGCGCGGTCAGATCTGCGGCGCGTGCTTCGAGTTGAAGTGCGTGGAGGACATGCGGTGGTGCATCCCCGGCACCTCCATCATCGTGACGGCGACCAATTTCTGTGCCCCTAATTATGGGTTTACGAACGAAGGAGGTGGACACTGTAACCCTCCCAATAAACACTTCGTTCTTCCCATTGAAGCCTTTGAGAAAATCGCTATTTGGAAAGCTGGGAACATGCCCGTTCAGTATCGCAGGTAGTTTCTATTCCTTCTTATCAATGCACGTTTGCGTTTCTGATGCTAATCAAATTCAGGTAGATATCGCATGAAAGTGACTTTAGTGGGCGTTTGGGTTGAAGGTGAATATGATTTTGAGCTCATAAAAATAATTGAGATGAATATATAAATTAATTTAATAAATTTTTAGTAAAAGTATTAGCTATATTTTTATATCTTCAATTTAATAATTTTTTTAAGTTAACAAAATTCTTAATTTTATTAGAATTTTTATGCTTGCTGATCTATAAATATGTGAGAGAGTAGGTTTTGCTTTTATACTTGAATTGTCTGTTTAAAAGGTTTTGATAATTTAGACTCTTAGCCGTTTTAATTGTATATTTTTTAACATGTTAGACTTGGTTATTTAACAAATCTGAATCACATTTTAAAAAAACGTGTGTTATTTTTATTCAAGATTACGAGAATTAATTTTCTAACCTTTAAACTAGTAAGTCCTTAATCCAGTAAAGGAAAAATAGTAAGAATGGTTATTTTAATCCGTGATTTTGCATAAACTTTAGTCAATGCTTTGGAAAATGTCATGTAACGTGTTAGTTTTTACTTATTTCAAAGAAATAAACATTCATTTTTATGAGAATTTTTAAAAATAAGTGATTATATTTCTAAATTTAAATGTTATCAAATATACATTTAACTTTATTATAGGACTAACCTGACGTATTTTTTAAGTTAAAAAAGTGAAGTTTTAGGCAAGTCAAAAACTAATATGACGGACACACAAGTACTATAATGAGGGTTTATTTGCAAGTGTATTTATGTCATCAGAACTTAATGACAATTCATTTTATTAATTATGAATTTGTGGCAATCTGGTAGCTAACTTACCACGTTATTAGTACTATAATAATTATTTATGGCATGCTCTGCCATGTCTATAAACCACGCTGTTGCTAGAAGATCTCTGGTAAATTCTTTTAGATAATGAGAAGGAAACAGCATATGATTTTGTTAATAATACATGTAATTCTAAGTTATTTTCTTATGGGTAAAAAAAGGATCAGATTGCACTTGGAAGTTAGAAACTATGTTGTTTCATACTTGCTGTTATTTATTTTGAATTTTGTGTTTGGTGCAGGATAAAGTGCAGAAAGGAAGGAGGGATCCGATTTACAATCACTGGTTCTGGTATCTTCATTTCAGTGCTGATAAGCAATGTTGCTGGCCACGGAGACATAGTAGCGGTGAAGGTTAAAGGCTCAAGAACTGGTTGGCTTTCAATGGGTCGGAATTGGGGGCAAAACTGGCATGTAAATGCATTGTTACAGAATCAACCTCTTTCATTCGAGGTTACTGCTAGTGATGGCAAAACAGTTACATCTTACAGTGTTGCTCCCAAGGATTGGAGCTTTGGACAAACCTTTGAAGGCAAGCAGTTTGAGACTTAAGAGCTCAGTGAAGAAATCTTGTTTCAAGGGACCGTTATCCTTCCCTTTCTCATTCTAAAATTTTTTACCCCAATAGTGATCAAAGGTCTACTTACCGGTGGTTTTGTTTCTACATTTTAATTCTTTTGGTTTTGTAGAAGACTGTGTAGATAGCAAATGATTTGGTGGTTTGCAAGAATGTGATGGTGTACCTTTCCATTTATTATCTTAGGAAGTTTTGTATGAAAATTACCTTATTGGTCAACTCCAAAGAAGATATGACAATGTAAATTGTGTAAGGCTCTTATTAGGACGTATCATCCCACTAACTTCATCTGCAAGTTGTCTTAAATATTACTACATCATCCAACCCCCATCAACGATTATTAGATAACCCATCACATTATATTATATAATGGTACATTAGTTTGATTTCTACCGTAACAATAAGAATCCTAGGTATGTACGTATACTTTTTGGTGAAATTTTGGTTCAAGTTTTGGATGATTTTTCGTAGTTATCAATTTTTTTTTCGGTGTCCTCAATGCTCTGTCTTTCACTGCTAATCGTTACTTGTTAGTTTGTTTTACCTTTTGCCCCGTACCTGTCTCGCTACAGCTGAATGCAAGAACAGGGGTCTCAAACTCAAAACACATGGTTTTCTTTTTTCTTCAACAACAAATGAATGTACTGTTCTGTGCTTTATTGATAGATCATCTAGTCGTCCTATTCATATAGAATGTTCAATCTGCTATCTGGTGTTTATTCGTAGGGCGCCTATAACTACTACGGATTGAGATCCAAATCTGCTTAATAAGGGTTTAATTCATGCAGCATTACTTAAACAATGCAAAAGTAAAACATTTGTCGTATGGGGACACCTTAATAAATAAATAATGATCATTCTCTTCTGCGCTTTAACAAATAATCTCATCAAATGATAAGGATGCACTAGGCAAAAGATGCGAAGCGGTCCAAACTTGTAACATCATATTAAGATGATGGTTGATTGCCATCTGTTAAGCCTCGAGGTGTTCTACTCGTGTCAACAACATTTTATTTCTCTAAAAAGAAAACCATAACAGACTCCTATTGAATATGTTAATAATATCCACCACGAAAACAAACAATGCTTTCATGGTTTATCTCAACAATTGACTAATCTGATACATAATAATACATCCAGAAAAATGAGCCAGGAAAAGGAAGTAACAAACAGAATTAATATACATCAATGTTCAACTTAAATGTAGTTAGCTAAACGGTGTATATACAGAAATTATAAATTAATCCCAATTAAATTGTGGTTAAAGCATGTGTGAACTGTTTGTACAGAAATTTGACTTCCCAATTTTTTGACTACTACACGGGCTGTTAGCATACAGTGGAACAAGAAAAACAAAAAACAAAAAAAGAATATCAAATGTGATTACTATAACAATCATTCTAAAACTAATTAAATGTGAGTCCCTGGAAGAAACCAGGCAAAAATTTGCAAGCTATGATGAAAGAACTCAACTTCTATTAATCAAAATCGTTGGAGTGTCCTACCGTATATATATCCCAGTGAAGGAACCAAAGCTACAATCTTCATAGCTTCTGATGAGATTCAATAAGCAGTGCATTTAACATAATATGAACCCCAGCTTCATAAACAACTCCATCATAATGCATCCCATCATCTGTACACCTGATCCCACAATTCCAACTCAGTGATCCTATATCAAGAAGTTGAAAAGGGCCACCAAATTGCTTCAACATGTTGCTTCTTTTTAGCTCTCTCTCATATTCACTTCGCATTAGATCAGTCATCTTCACCCTCTTGTCCTGTGTATTCAACATAGAGTTTATCAAACTTGGCATGCCAAGCCAAAACAAATGTGGAGATCTAACTGATACGGAAACTGTCACAGGCCCATCAGTGCCAAATTCTGGGGACACAGGCAACAACGTTGTCACAGAACTCCTCAAAAATCCCAAAGAGACACCATAATCCGAAGCATTTGTGAAATGTAGCATGTGCCACAAACCAGAACCCATCACCAAAAGATCTGGATAAACATGGTTCTTCCTTAACTCCACAACCAATTTGGTCAAATTCGTAACATAAGGTGCCCATATAAAATCCAACTTCATCCCTATCTCATCAACCTCAATGTGATAATTACTATGCCTCTTGAACAATGACCCTCTAACCGATTCCACCCGCTCCGAGTCCAAAACCAAACTCAACAACGAGAGTGCAAAGATTCTAGCTTGGGAATCCCCTGCCACCATGACCCATGACCCATTTAGCAAATCCGAAACGTCATGTCGTTTAAGCCTCTGAAACTCACAGGAATCCACAGAACTCGATCTAGTCCAAGACCAAGACTTGTCGTAATTCACAGAATTATTATTCAAAAAAGGATCAAAGACCCTTGCAGGCCTCACATCCCAGTCAATTTCATGAAGCAAAGAAACACACGAATCACGATCATCCACAACAACATCAACAGAAGAAGATGGAGAAGAAACAGATGTTATAAAATCAGAAACTGAAGGAAAATAAGGAGTTAGGTGAACCCCAACTGCGAGAGTGATGAATAGTGCACCACTAAAGAAGAGAACCTTGTTGCGGCTCAAGTGCCAACCCGCCATACCCATAGGCACAAACAACACAACACACGCTGCCAACAACCCCAATTGAACCGCACCTAACATTGCCCCTTACTGTTCCAAGATCCCTTAGAAACTCACATCTATCTATCAATTGGGTTCTGAGAATCACCCAAAATATGGGGTTTTTGAGAGAAGGGTGTTACTGGGTGGGTTGCAATTTTTTATGCAACCCGTGAACGGAAACGAAGTGATGAAGCTGAGATCTGGAGAAAAAACAAAACTTTTCTCCAAACTGGGAAAAGGGTCAGAGGGAAAGTTGGTGGAGAGATTTATGAATGGCTTGTGAATGAAGGGATATTGTTTTTTTTTTTTTTTTAAATTAAGGGAGTGATGGGAACGGGATAACAACAGAGGAGAGATTCAATTCGCAATGAGATTAAGATCGCTTACTTACGACACCATGGTACCATGGTATTCAAAAACCGGTGCCAATGATTATCAGTGATGTGTGTCATTTTGCATCTGAATTTTGTGATTTTTAAAATTTTTCTCTTTTTACTTCAACCTGGGTAATGGGCCCTTTGCAGGTGCCTTGCCAATTGCCACCGTCAGTAAGAAATAAGGATAAAAAAAGAGTATTCTTTCATGCACTCACGATGTGTATTAACGGTGGCTTTTATTATTCACAATCACAAAGTCAGAATTTGCGTGCCACTACAAAAGGCTTCTAAGCCAATTCTAACATGCACATTTTTTCACCCCTTTTTACTGATTTTGCTATTGAATTTTTATGAAATTTTATTGGAAATGAGTCCTTACATAAAATATTCAAAATTTTCTGATTCTCCCTAATATTGCATCAATTAACCTCAACTCCAGATGACATTATGTTTTATTTATCTTTTAGATTTATTCAAGTGATAACTTCATCATAAGTGATATCAATAATAATAAAATATTTCAATAGCTTATCACTAGTAATAATAAAAGAAAACACGAAAGCGCAAAATCAATTTAAGTCTTCCAGAGTCGAAACCCGACATTTGCATCAAATATTTCAAACACATAATTCAGTAATACTTAATAAAAAAATAGACAAAAACAGTGATTAAAAATAAAAAACTAGCTGTAGTTGCATATGTATTTTAAGAACTTTATAATATATATTTAAAGTTGCTGAAAGTAATATTAATTTTAAATTTATATAGGAATAAAATAATCAATATTTATATTATAAAAAAGAATATTTTATTCAAAAAATGAAGCATTAAATCAAGTTATCTTCTTTCACAACTTAATATGAATACCTTTTAAGATTAAAATTATTTAAAATAATTTATAAATTACAAATTTTTGTTATAAATAGTTTATTTTTATATATTTTTAATTAATTTTATTTTAAATTTTAAAGATAAATATTATTACTTAACTTTCTTTTACTGTTTTATAAAAACTTTTTAAATTTTATGTGATTTTTATATTTATATATTTTTTATATAAATGTTTTTGTTATATAAAATATATAAATACAATTATTTTAAATAAGCTATATTTTAAAATTATTATAATTTAAGACATTATTTATAGTTATAAAATAAATTAATTTTTTTATAAAAATTAATATTTTAAATAATTTTATTATAAATTATATATACATATATTTATTTTAAAATAAAATATTTATATATTTTTCTTTCTTACTTAACTCATAAAATTTTCTTTGTAATAATAAAAAAATCTAACATATTGAACTAAATAGTTTTAAATATATTTCAACAAAAAATTGCTTTTTATTATTATATTTTTTTTAACAAATAGATCTTCAATGGCCCAAATATTAACGTGAGATTAATCGACGAAAACTTAACATGAGAAAGCAATTGGTCGAACCATCCGGCCGGCGGTAGACCTTCAAATTCATGTATCAGAGAATAGCAACAAAGAAAGGGAAAAAAGAAAGAAAATAATAATTAGAAACAAAAGGAGAAGAAGGAAATCGAGCGATATTGTGGAAGAAGCGGTGCAGTTAATAGAGATGAGTGAAGCGCAGAAGTACGTTTGGAAAGGGGCGATTCCTCTGCAGATTCACCTCCACGAATCTGAAGTCACCACTCTTCCTCCGCCACCACCAGCTCTCGTACGCTACCAACTTTTCTTGCCATTTCAGTTTTCATAGGGTTTTTTTGTCTCTAACTTCAATTGTAACGTTTCCATGCCTTTTCTACTCTTAATTAATGTGGTTTCAGGTTTTAGCCCCTCGGATAGGGTACTTACCATTGTTGGTTTCGATCATAAAGCCTCACTTCAGCAGCACTCTTCCTCCTGGAGTTGACACCGTTTGGTTTGACTACAAAGGCCTACCTCTCAAATGGTACCATCTATCATACAATTCATACTCTCTTCTTTTTATAGTTATCGTACAATTGAGTCACATTGCACTGTAGTTTTTTTTTAAAACATATTTTTTTGGGTTCTTACAGGTATGTACCAACTGGAGTTCTTTTTGATCTGTTATGTGTCGAGCCAGAAAGGCCGTGGAATTTAACGGTAACGGATTTTCATTTCGTTTTTTTGTCAATTTGATTGAGCACCTTATTGTTAATGTTTTTCAGTGAAGTTTTTGTTCCGTGTTGTTTTCTTGGAGTTGGTTCATTTAGATATCAATCGCATAAATTGACGTTAATATCTGATATGTTTCATGTTTAACATAAAGTCTTTGTTCCATAATGTGATTGTGAATATCTGATGAATATAACTTTATATCTGGTGATGACTACATTTTGAATTTCTTCCCTCTACCTTCCTGAAGTTGTGATTAAAGAAAATGCCCGAACTGCATTTTTTGGGGTGCTGGCAAATAAAATTAACTATTGAGAATGTTGGAAAAAATGAAGACTGAATATACTACAAACATTTTAATGGGCAGTTCAAAAAAAATATTTTTCCACTTGCACAGATATATTCAATAACTGTCCCCTCTGATTCGCAGGTACACTTTAGGGGATATCCAAGCAATGTATTGCTTCCATGTGAAGGTGAAGACAGTGTAAAGTGGAGCTTTATTAACTCACTGAAAGAGGTCAGTTGTGTGATTTATTCTCTTTCTGTTTGTGTTTATGATGGTACTTGTTTGATTAATAACATGATGCTTCATGCCTGTTCAAATTTATGAAGAAGATGCCTATGCACTATGTTATGTGCATTTATTGGTGTTTGCTTATGTGGATCTTTAATTAGAGCTCATGTGAGTCCTTTACTGTGTTTATTGGTATAGGATAGCACAGAAATTAAGATTTCAAGGGTTATGATTTTGGTAGCATAACAGTAGTTGAACATGGTTGATTGAAGGCTTGTTTAGGTAGCTGCGGTATGCTGTAAAGGAATGATGCTTATGGACCAAGTTAGTGTGATGCTGCTGTAAAATGCACTTTGGTAATGAATGTTAATGAATTGATGGACTCTACGGAATATTCAAGCAAGAACCTATCAGTGATTGGAAATAAGGAGTTTTCAGTGTCTATGTTGTTTTAAAGTGTCACATATCTTTGCATTACTCTGATATTATTTACTATAACGCAGTACCATAGGACTGGTAGTGTTGTGTGAAGTTGATTGTTTGGCAGTAAAAAGACAACAAGAAAAACACAGTTTAGCAGAAATTAGAATGTTGCATTGGATGAGTGGACATACTAGACAATAATGATTAGAAATGAATGCACTAGAGAAAAAATTGTGGCAGAACTTATTTGGACATGCGCAGAGAAAACTTCTACATGCCCATGTGAGGAGAGTAGATTGGATAGAGGGTAGCCCTGTGACTAGAGGTAGAGGGCAACAAAAATGAAAAACTAAAGGCAAAATCATCAAGAAGGGTTTGGAAGTTAATCGTTTGTTTGTAGATATTAGTTACAGTAGAACATTGTGGCACTGTGTAATCCATGTAGCTGACTCTTCTTAGCAGGAATAGGCTTGGTTTATTGTTATATAATTTAACAGATGTTTATGACTTAATACTATAACTTCATGTCATAATAATATTAATCAATAAAATTGTTCTAATGAATATATATGATGAAATGATGGAAACAGTTTGCATTTGGTAAATAAAATTGAAACAATTTTTTTCCCAATATCATCCTTTTCTAATTAATCAGACAGCTGATATATGCAAGCACTAGATGGATTCACTATTCACTAATACACAATTGGGCAGCATATTTTTCACACACGTGAGAGAATGCCTATAGGTCACTGCTGCACTGGATCTATATACCACCTTGTCTACTAGTACTTGGCCAGTAGCCATTCTGCTAATTTCACATCATCACATGTTAATATTTTTAGAGTCACTGGCCATGTTTTGCTCCCAAACCTGAATTTTTAAATTAGACTGTAATCCAAAGTAAAAGTGGCAGTCAGTCCACTAACTAACTTACAGAGCAATGGGTATTCCAGCCAAATTAGGTGGTCGAGGCCAGACCTCTGTAGGGAAGGGGGATTTTGCATTCTATTTTATGCTCCTGCTCCATGCCCCCTGGTTTTCAGAATTAACTTCTGTGGTGTTTTTATCCCAATGGAAATCAATACATGGAAAATGTTAAATGTTCTTATTTTCACTACTTCACTGTCCTTAACTGAATTTTGATTTTACTGCAGGCTGCCTATGTAATAAATGGTAATTGCAAGAATGTCATGAACATGTCTCAACCTGATCAGGTGGATCTTTGGGGCTCTGTTTTAAATGGTATGGTTGCTAATTGTTTGATATTAAATCTAATACTTTGTAAGGTTTTTATTTTGTTTCTCTCTGCAATGCCTTTAAGCAATTTTAAATTTTACCAGCAAAAAGCCCTCATCCAGGGGGAAGAGGAGGAGGAGGATAGGATTTTCAGTTGATTTCAATCAAGTAGATTGTTAGCAAACCCTCTGTTGGATGGATGGAGGGAAGGGAAGTGAGGGAGTGGGTCCCACATAAAAAATTCTACCAAAAGTGAGCGGAAATGGGGAAAGAGGGAGGGCTTTTTGGTTTTAAAAACTTTAAAATTAATTATATTAATATAATGTTATATTTTTATTTTAAACAATGTTATAGTAGAACTTTTAAATTATTTTGATTAAATAATTTTTTATTATTATTTCTTTTTTATATAACCTACTCATTTATTTTCATTTTCTCTTCTATTCATCCAAACAAGTGTAGAGAACTATCTCCACTTCTTTTTCTCCTATTTTAACTCATTCCAACAACACACCCTTATCACTTTATTTCTCACATTTCTTTTTCTTTCCTCCCTATTTCATCTGTCATCCAAATAAAGTGTTGGTTACTGAGGTGAATGTTAAGCAAAATCAGCAGAGTTGTGCCTGAATCAGCTTCTGTTATTGATAGTTAATTGGTGGGAGTCTCTGATGGTTAGAAGGAGGGGCAGAATAAAAGTGTTGGGAGAGGAATTCTAGGGTACAACAGATTGTATGGATGGAATGGGGCAAAGTTCTAGTTCCTGAAATTGAGCAAGATTCTTCCTTTGTAGTTCTCATTGAAACAATAATCTAGGCTCTGCAATCACTTTGATTCAGACCTGATATAAGAAAAACTATCAATACAATTTCCAGTTCTTTATATGTTTCTTTATTTTCTTGGTCCAGTTCCTATCATAGACATAAAGCAATTATTTCTAAAATGGAATGACGATTCTGACCTTTTGATGATGCTTGAAATCAGTAAGTCATGTTTGTCTACCAGTATTTCCAATTAAAAGGGCCCATAATTATTATGGTTGGGAGTTGATGTGATGTTAGCAAGGATGTTAATAAATTTCTATTACGTAGTTTGTTTGCTGAGAGAAAGCTTCATATTTGTTCCATAAATAGTAATTATGATTTATGAAGCAATACTGGTTATTGTATATTGCCTTGCCTTAGTAATATATGGTTGGATACATACTTATTCCCTTTGTCTTTTTTGAGGCATGTGAATTAGGGGCTCTGTATTATTCAGGAATTAGGATAGGGTCATGAATATAATCTGAATTAGATTAAAATTGAACCATGAGTTATCAATCATCAAGCTTAAGCTTGGTGTATCAGTCTAGCTTGGCTTGACTTGCAAACTGGCCAAACACAAGACAAACAATCATAAGATTACAAATGCAGAAGTTTGGTTTTTTGCTGTCAATGGATTTAAGGAGAGACATATGGCCATACAGGACCAATCCCATAATAGAAACAATTGTTTGCCTTAACCAAATAATTTATGGATTGATTTCGCTTTAATATATCTATCTCTATTTACCCCATAAATTATTTACAGTCACAGTTGAACATGCACTTCCAAGCACAAGTTGCACAATATAAAACCAATCTCAAATTTTAATGAACATTATTTGACCATAAGATTCACAAAAGACAAGATAGTCAAAATGTAGTTCAACAATAAAATCCAGAAAAACAATGGTTACATCTGCAATTGGTAATTTATGGAGGATTTATTTGATTCTCTCTTATATTGGACTTATGTCAACACTCATTTGCATAACAGGTAATTTGGAATCTTATCGACGGGTGTCATCTAAGCTTAAACTTGTAACTTTTGAAGATGAATATACAGAAAATGTTAGTTCAGTCTCTAAATCTCAAGAGAGTACTGGGGATAATGATGCTGCTGGACAAGGGCAAGTGAAGACTGGTAAGCAATATGCTAGTTTGTGTGCTAATTTGGCTTGCTGTATTTTTCCTCTTCTTTTATATAGTGTTTCGTATCCTCCCCACCTTTATTTTTGGCAACCTTTTCTTCAATTATCTGTAAATATAATTCTTATTAGGTGTAATCCAAAATTCCTAGCATAGGCAAGGAGGTTCTTTCCTTCTCAAGGATCTCCCAAACATTTACAAGCATATTAAACCTATTTTGAGTGACTTGTAGGCTCTCAGCAGGCCCATTTAAAAAGGATATTTGTATTGTGTGTCTTTTTATGTGTAAAGGGTGAGAGCTATTACTGTCATTTATAGATATTCAAATGCATTACTCATCACACAAACAATATTTTTCCTTCGAACATAGAACTGCAATTTGGGATTGTTGACTTGAATTGTTGACACCTTTTCCATTCACAATAAGTTCATTTTTTTCATTGCCAACATTTACTATCTTTTGTTAGGTAGGATTCCTGTTCGTTTATATATGTGGACTGTCAATGAGGAGTTTGATGACTTTGAAGATGCTCCTCAAATTGATAACTGGGACAAAGTCTTGTATATCAATCGACCTGTCGAGATTCATAAAGAAGACGGTAAGTCATGTCCTGTAGAGAATCCTTAGTTGTAACTTATAAATTGATCATCTTCCATGATTGTCTAGTTGCATAGGACAAAGAGGATTGTCATCATGTTGTCAAATGATGTAAGATGGCCAATGGTGGCAGGTTAACAATCAACTGTAGTTTCATGAAGCATGGAGGTTTAGGCAATGGGGTAAAGAAAGACAGTCCATGTTAGATAAAAAAACCGTAGAAACTAACTAAAATACCTGGTATTTTATATCAAGAATAGTGCACATAAAAAATGTTTTTCTTTAGAAGAAAAATAACTAGTCATTAAGGTCAATTTAACAACAGTGCCAAAAAGGCACTCTTGAATTTGGATTAGTTCTAATTCAATTTCAAAAGCTAGCTTGTGATGGGAGGATTGCCTAAGCCTTTATATTTAATTTGGCTATATCTTTAGTCGACGTGTAATCTCAACAAACGAACAACAACTGAGATCAGCCTACTTGCTGTATCCATGAGAATTTAGGAAAATAAAAAACTACAAATACAGATCTGACAAAAATGAGTTAGGTAGGAGAGTAATTAGCTGAAACAAAAAGAATACAGGATATACTGTATTGTAAAGGCACAGATAAAACATGGTAAAAAAAGGAAGTATACAATAAGTATACTAAGAGGAATAGTAAGATGAATAATAGGCATACTGTGAGGCATGAGCAACTCGCCATACCTGGTGGTAGCACCAAGACGTGCTGTGGCATGCCATGCGGTTTTGGTCACGTCTTGGTGGCTGCCATTTGCAACATATTTATATTGTGTGGTCATTGTGCTCATACCACGTCTCTGTTCATATTATTTTGTGCTTTCTATTTCGATCAAGTTCTGCTATGTATCTTGACCACATAAATATAATTCTCAATTTTCTGTTTTTTTTTTCTGTGACATTATTTTTCATCTACAATTGAATTTGACAACTTTATTATTTGAAGAGAGCTGAATATCTCATAAATTAAACAAAGATTATATCCTCTTAAAAGATAACATATAAAACAGAAAGCAAAGAGAAGGTGAAAAACATAAATAAGAAGTGCCTTGTTTCCTTGATTACGAATCCAATAAATCCTCTAATAGCAACCTATCTTATGTCGCGATGATGTGAAGAAACCTCTTGTTTATATTTTACGTATTTGACCTTATTCAGTTTAATCAAGCTGCTGCGAACATATCAACATACCTCCACACAAACCCAAACTTCTTTTTATTTACTACCAAAATGTTTCATGATTTATTAAAATCTTACAATTATTTCCAACTGCCCAAGTAGCAGCAGGAGTTGTAAAACACCTATCGCGGTCACTGACTCAGTGAGTTATTAGGGGCAAATAAATCTCTGAAGTGCATGACATCGTGTTGTGCTCCAGTTTCTACATAAAGGAAATATAACATAGGCCTGCATTTTTAACGTGAATTATTATTTGAAAAATTGCTCATTTTGAAAATACATTACGAACAGTTTGTGTTATTACGAGCATTGGCTCTAAATTTGGTGCATACTTGGAGGTATTGTCAGAGGAGCTAACCCTACTTCTATTACGAGTGGAAAGATGTGTGCGCAGTTAAGTCTTCATTTGAAATGAAACTGTGATCCCTTCCCTGGCTCATTAACTTGAAAATACACGGTCCTCTAGTGCAATGCTGCACGTCATCACATCCAATTCTTATAATCTAATTAAGGCTTTAGTATGTTTTTAATTTATAAATATTACCATTTTTGTTTGATTTCTCATTTTATTTAAAAAATTATAATTCTTTGTAAATTATTTTCCTTTCTCATATATTTCTTTTGTTTGTTTTTGTGCATTAAGTATTTACATGTCTCGTGAAAATGGTGGATCAAATGAGAAATTTGTGATATACAGGGAGATTAAACATAAAAATCGTGTTATTTAGAGAGATTAAACGGGTAAGAAAAATTTCACTTAACGGGTAAAACGGAAGACTAATAGAGGGATTACATGGGAAAGAAATTTTATTAAGACTAAATTATTATTTTTTAAAAGTGAGGAACTAAGTTAAAATTCATGATATTTAGAGGGAAGAGAAATGTATTTAAGCCTGTTTATCAACATTAATGCATCTGCCATGATTGTTGTCATTTTCATTTTTTCTACATGACTTACATATATTATTGATAAACGATCTCTTTCTTTCTTCCATATTTATTTTTGGGTTTTGGGTGGGAGTGAGGTCAGTGGGGGGTTTAAATAAACTTAAACTTCATGCACACCTAGTGGTAAACATGCACTGTTTAGAGACCATGAATACGATATGGCATAGAAATGTGACAAATTTTTAAATTATAGGAGATCAGATGATTATAATACAAATATAATATTTTTTGTATGCAATTATCATAAGAACACAAATCATAGATCAAAAGTTTCATTGTATTTTTAATTCCTATATTTAGACCAATGTGCAATTTACGTTTTCTAATAATTTTAACTCCACCATTTTTCTTAATTGTTACAATCAGTCCTTTTCTTAATTTTTTTATGTATAAAACTCACATTTTTGTTACTTAAATAGTTTAGGGTTTAGAAGGAATGTGGGACCTCAAATGATTTCACATATCCAAAAATTATAAAATTGATGAAATTTGAAGGGTTTTTGTCGAATGTGAGGATAGGATTTCAAAAAGCCAGAAAATTGAGATCTTCTCGTATTGGTTGATATGATGTTCTTGTTGGTGGTTTTAGTAAAATAGTGTTTAAAATGATTTAGCAAGAGTTATAGGAAGAGGATAATTGACAAAAGGAATTGATTGTAGCAATTTTTTTAAATAAAAAATAGAAGACTAAATTCGAGTAGCAAATTCTTGGGGGACAAAAATGCATATTGGTTATAATAGAGGAACAAAGTGTAATTAAACCTACATAAAAGAGTTAATAGATAAAAAGTTAACATGAATCATTTAAGTCATAATAAAATGATGTTGTTTCTCTAATTATTGTGATATTTCCATGTTTATTGGATTAGTGGTATCTAAACTATATGTAAAAGAATTGTAAAATGCAAGCAAGGAGTATTCAGGGTCTCCGACATGGGTACAACTATTATCTTGAAGTGTCCATGCTTCCTTTGTTTCTGCTTAAATTGTTTGCAATTAACAGATATTATTATTTTATTGTTAGCATCATCTTTACAGTTTACAATTTACCTGATAAGTTTTATATCTGTTGCATGCAGGTAAATTCTTTAGCTTAAATGATGCGGTTAAAAGAATATTGCCCGAGTTTTTCCCGGAAAGTTCCGTTGTAACTGAAGGAGATGCAATCATCAACCAAAGTGCTGGAGAAGAGGGAGAAAGTTCATCTGATCCCGAGTCATGTTGCCACCCACATGAGGTTGCTGAAATCAAGCTTGTACGCATTCAAGGGATAGAACCAATTTTGGAGATACCTTTTTCTTGGGTGGTTAACAACTTAATGAATCCTGAGTATTTTCTTCATATGTGTGTTTGCTTGAAAGTTTCAAAGGTCAATACTGTGCAATAGGAAAAAATTCAATTACTTGAGCATCCCCATTCACTGGAAAACTCGGAAGATGCAATTCTTTTGTATATAAATGTACAGAACGGTTTCAAATTATATTCATTTCATAATTCGATTGCGATTTTCCACTGCAAAGTGTAATAAATGTTAACAGATGATTATTTTTTAAATCCAATCAAGGGTACACTTTCCCCCTCAAAATGCGGCTAATGTTTCAATTCTGAATTTTCCTTTTCGTCACCGAGTTGGTTGAAGGGCGTCTGGCTGTCTTCACAAAATATTGGCTGTCCCTAATTAGGCCAGAGGTGTCTTTAATTTTGAAGTGCTAGTCAATTAGTTAACCCAATTATACCTAGTTGCAAGTTTGATACTATCGTTTGTCATTTAAAATTATAATTACAAGTTAAGCAAATTCACTTAGAGATATCCAATTTAGCTAAGGAAAAGCTAGTTTGACACGGTTCTGCAATTCGGGAAATAGACACAAAATGGACTAATGATTTCTGTGACAAAAAGGGAAAGAGAATACTAGAGTAATGAACCGTGATAAGTGAAAGTTTATGACTCATGTCATGTCTATAATGACAAAAAAGATGTCTATATTTGAAGATATATGTGAGACTAAAACAACACTTCGGCTTAGAATGCTCCTCCAATGTTTTAGGTAAGCATTATCCTTTAGAGGCAAGCCATGTCAAATATTACCTAGGTGCATGAATTATCTGGAAATGTTTTAACGAGAATGGTTATGAATTCTGCAATATACAAAGTGACTCGTCTTCTTTCAGTAACGTTACATATAAAAAGTTTTTCAATATAATTCACATAATTTGCAACAATACTATCCATTTATCTTTTCTTTTTCTCGCCTTTTTATTTTTATTAGACGATTCCCTATGAGTCATGTGAATTTGACGTGGGCAAACTTGAAGCAAGCGTATATGCTGTTTGGTTTAACAGCACGATTTGATTGATGGTAATAGAAAGGGTGGAATTTGATGGTGTAATATTTCCCAATAGCATTCGCCTAACCATTTTTATTTTTAAGAAGACGCACAATTTATGTCAATGCATGGACATTTTAATATTAAACCAGAAGCTACTTGTACAAAATTCTAACCAATTTCCATTAATTCTAAAGAATGAAGAAAAGCTGTTGGTTGAGGATAAACTATAATTTGGATTCATGATCATTGTGAATAATAAAGAATAGATGATTACTTTCCCTTTGGCCGGCCATTGGATAAAATGTCCATCCCCACCCCACGCCAAACTTAAGTGGAAGCACATAACTATAAGGCTGTGAAACCAAAACACAAATTGACACTTACAAGATTGTACTAACATTGTGAGGTACGAAACATTGTACACCTTGAAGGCACCGTATATTTCGAAGATAAGATTTCGTTTTAAGTAAACTGCTCTCTATAAATTTCAACACTTGTTTCAAATTTTCTCCCATCGTAGAAAGAATAACAGGCAATAATATATCAACCTATCAAGGATAATATGTCAAAGGGTGACACGGTTAAGGTTTTGGACTTTTGGGCAAGCCCATTTTGTGCTAGAGTGAAAATTGCTTTGGAAGAGAAAGGGGTGAGCCACGTGGATAGTGAAGAGGATTTGTTTGGTGGCAAGAGTGAGCTTCTGCTGAAGTCAAATCCTATTCATCAAAGAGTTCCTGTGCTCTTGCACAATCACAAACCTGTCGCTGAATCTGCTATCATCGTTTCCTACATTGATGAGGTCTGGCCTTCCAACTCACTCCTCCCAACTTGTGCATATGATCGTGCCCAAGCCAGATTCTGGGCCGATTACATTGACAAAAAGGTTTGTCTGAATAACAACTCACAACAAATGCTTATATTTTATTAGATAAATGCTAAATTAGGGTCCTAAAGTTGTTGATTATAACATACGAAATATAAATTATTAACAAGTGATTTTTTTATGTATCTTAATATGATTTACAATAATTTTTTTTTATTAATTTTAGTGTCTTTAAAATATTAATTAATAAGATCCATTTTATAAATTGCTTGTTTAGAATCAGTTGAAAATTAATTTTTGCATTTATTTCAATTACATTCCTTACCTTAAAATTAATTTTGTTCATCTTTAAACCAAACAAAATTGATTTTTACATAATTGATGATCAACAAGTTTTACTCTAAAATGCAAACTTCAAAATCTAAACCCATGTTTGGTGCCGTCAAATTTGATCCTAAGTTGTTTTAGTTTAGGGTTAGATTGGAATGACAAAAAGAAAAATGTCTATTATCCAAATGAAATCTTTACCCTAATTAAGCGAAAATTACAAATTAGTAATATTATCAAAATATTCTTTTAAAACACTTTTAATATTAGTTAAAATTTATTAAAAATTATAAAAATAATAAATTTTAATTTTCTTATTTTTAAATTAATATTTTTTCTTAGATTTTTATTTTTTCAATTTTTAATAAATTTTCACTAATAATTAAAAGAAATTATTGCTAATATTCTTCTTCAGATGTCTTGAGGTAACCATATAAGATGATATATAAGATGATGGATGGTTGATACTTTTATACTTGAAAGGTATTTGACACGGGCAGGAATATATGGGGGAGCAATGGAGAAGAGAGAGAAGTGGCGACAAGGGATTTCATTGAAGTTTTAAAGCATCTAGAAGAAGCTCTTGGGGAGAAGAAGTACTTTGGTGGCGATTCCTTTGGGTATGTGGACATCATAGCCATCGGTCATTCTGCATGGTTTTTGGCTTATGAAAGGCTTGGGGGCTTCAAAGTTGAAAACCATTCTCCAAAAATCTCAGCTTGGATTAAGAGGTGTTTGCAAAGGCAATCTGTTGCGAAAGTTCTTCCTGACCCAGAAAAGGTTTACCAGTTTATCCTTCATTTCAGGAAGATGGAAGGACTTGATTAATGAATGGCATCAAATATTTAAGCATGCTTCAATTTTCCTTGTAACAGTCAATGGTGTTGTTGCTTTCTGCTTTGGACTTCAGCTCTCTCTCACGTGGGAGCATGAAGTTAAAATAAGGGAAAATATGAAATAATAATAACCTTTGGGATTTTTATTGCCTTTAAACTTCGTACATATATCATAGACAGGGTTTGATAACAAATCAACCATCTTTTGGCGTTATTTATGTAATATTGTTCCTTAATCCTTCTCTCTTTATAACTAAACGCGCGTCAACAATTGTCGCACTATTTAATCAAAAGTACGACAGAATTATTTTGGTTCCAGTATTCTGCATTGGATTGTTGATCTTTCAACAGCATCAACTTATTAATGTGCATGTATATATATGTGTGTAATTTATTTCGCTAATTACTCAACTATTTCAATTGGTAAGAATCGACTGAACTATAGAAGAAGCACTCACATTCTTTTGAAGAAAAAGTTGAAAAGAAATACTGTTGCTTATCAAAATTAGGTTAGAGCTTTACTCTTTCTCAAATTTTTCTCAAGCCATACAAATCAAATTATACAATTATTACTTTAGCGTTATTTTGCACTCTAAGCTTTTGATCCGTGTGGGGCCCTCACTATGCGCAGGTATTTTTGATCATTCAGAATTTCAGATTTCAGGCTGCAAAAGATATGCATGATTAGTTTCCTTTCGGCAACAATATACTTTACATACATGCACAGGTTATTCGAAAAAAAAATGGAAGTAAATATAATTTTTTTTTCTCATTGAGAATATGATAATATTCAATAGAAAGAAGCCAAACAACCCAATTAAGCATTATATATGTGAGTTCAAATGGGTATTGCTTTCTCATTGTGGGGCAGAACAAACCGACTTCCCTTTTATGATCACTAAAAACCATTAATCATTGCCTACTTTTCATGACCAATTTCAATTTGTTTATACTTGTTCTATTTTTTAATCATTTTGTATTTCTCAATTTGGGTATGATAAGTGCTCTAGAACTTTCATTGGAGTATAGTTTGGATGGAGTCTCTAATAAGATTATTACATATTTAAATTTAGGCTCCGATAAAAATACGTTTGAGTGAGTTAATTTCAAATTAAGCTTTGCACTGCATGCATGGGGCACTAATAATATAATTTTGACCTCCTAAATTGGTTGTTTTGGAACCCCAAATGCTCTCTTATAGCACAAGGTAAACGCGATGTTTTTTTTTTTTTAAATTAAATTATTTCTAACTAATTGTGTATCCCACTGATAAAGCTCAAACAAGGAGTGTTTAAATTTGTTCTTAGTCGAACAGAAATTTTATCATCCAGCAATATTCACATCTATTAGAATATGATAGAACAAAACACAACTGATGACGATCTATAAAAAGTTATTTTATGCGTGTTACATATTCAAATTGACTTGGTATAGCTCTTGTAACCTCTTTATATTATCTGTTTTTAGCTGTTTAAATAAAAAACACATAATGACTTAAAATTTCATTCTCATACTCCTTTCACAATCAACGCATCTTAAGAAGAATCTACTTTATAGAATCATCATAGTTTGAAATATCTAATTAATTAGTTAGAATTTCAAGGTGGGTTCAGTTTTATTTTTGTAGAAATGGCTCTAGCCAAGAGACATATATTCATAATTAAGAGGTTCATTAATTAAGTGCTTAGTGCATTTTTCAAGAGATTGTCAATTTTTTAGGGGGCTAGCTGGTGAAGTGAAGTTCACTCCTATGTTTTATACTGCTTTACATACATAACCTACAATCAATGATTATATATATATATATATATATATATATATATATATATATATATATAATATAAAGAAGCTGGTTAACATTGGATGAGGAAACTAGGGAGAAAAAAAAGCAAAGGAAGCATAAACTCATAAAGGAGAAAAGCACCAAAAGATGGATTCATGAAAGGGAAAGCATGAGAGAGTGTGTGTGAGAGAGAAACTTTGGCATAGATGAGAAAAGCATTAGAGAAGCTTACAAGTGATCCTGCCATGCCACGTGGATAAATTAATTGGTTCACGTGGCAAAAGTTGGCCCCACATGGGTCCCGCTTTGGACTAAATTAGTTAATTCGCTGTCCATGTGCCATATATCGGTAGGCTAAGCTAAAACTAAAACATATGAACCCTAGTTTCTTCTTTTCCTTTCATTCTTTTTTCTTTTTCATTGGTATAATTTTTTCACAAATATCAGCGATGATGTTAATTAGTTATGAAAAATAAGAATCATCAATAATTAATTTTAAGTTATAGATTATCAGGATACAAACGTACTGTGGCGAGCTTATAAATATTTTTGATTTTGTTTATTATTGATTTAAGTGAAATTTTACACTCATGATTTTTTGTTTAAATTTCTGTTTTAATTTAGAATAAAATTATTATTAATATAGTAATTGTTATCAATTTATAATTTCATTTCTAAACTATTTCCTTAATTTTTCAAATGAATTATATCCATTAAAACTATATTAATTGTCATATGCATGTATTATGTATGATAATAGATATAGTTTAGAAATGATATTATAGTTTTCATATATATATATATATATATATATATATATATAATATTACTCAAATCCGTTCTCATAGTGATTTTTATACTTTTTTATAAATTAATAAAAAAATTATCAAATACAATGCAAAATTATAATAAGTAATAAAAATATAAATACGCTATAAATTTTCAATATCAAAGTATTAATTTTTTAATATTATATAAATTACAATACCATTTATTTTAAATAAAAAATATATTGTTAAGAGTATTTTTCATGAGTTTCCACCAGATTTTATACCCATTTAAATATGTAAAAGCTATTGAAAATATCTTTGAAGAGACAAAAGGGTTGAATGAATTGTTTACCACTAAAAATTAAAACTATTTTTCTTTTAAAAATTGAGACAAAATATATTAAAATTAAATAAAAAACTATTACAATTTTATTTTAAAATTTATATTTAAAAAAAATAAAAATTGCAACTGCTCAAAACTGTTAGTTTCTTTGAGCATGCACACACACGGACATTAGTGATGACAATGGGTAAAGTACTTGATGAGCATCTCCAAAATTTACCCACAATGGGTATGGTATTTACCCGTTATATGGGTACGAGTATGAGTGTGGGTAAAAACTCACAAATTTTATTGGAGATGGGTGCGGGTATGAGTATCTAAGTATCCACCACGCCCTATACCCCCCCCACACACACACACATATATATATATATATATATATATATATATGTTTTGACTTTGTTCTACAACTATGAATTAAATTTTTTTATTATTATACTACTTATGTGAAATTATATTAGATTAATATAAAAATATATTTAATAATAAAGTAAACCAAAAAATTTATTTTAATTTATATTTTTAATAGAAAAATTTATTTACTATTTTATATTGTTTAATTATGCTAATAAAATTTAATTATTACATGATTGATATGAGATTGATTTTTTTTAAAATATTATTTATATATGACACACATAAAATTATTATTACACAAATATTTTTGTTAATAAAATTATATTGATATTTAAATTATAAAGTAAATGATAAATAATAAACATATTGTAAATATTTTATAAATTTTACAATCATCTACTATTACTGTAAACTTATTATTTATTAATAATATTTAAATTTTATTTTTTATATTTTAATTTAAAATAATATTTTCCTGTGCAACATGTACATTACAAGCACAACTATAATCTATTGAATCTAAATAATATTATTCTTACTATTTATCTACATTTAAAGAAGTTTTTGAAAAGATATAAAATATAAAAAATTATTATTAATTCTTATTTGTTAATTTTTTCTTCAGATAAAAAAGTATAATCTTTTTATATACACATATATTTCTTTATTATAAAATTTTATTGTGACCATTTATCTTTTATTCAAATTCTTTTTTTAAAATTTATATACATTATAAATATTTAATTCATTAAAATAATTTTTAAAAATTTATATTTTTGACAAAATACTTTCATATAGTACATGAGTTAAAAATACTAGTATTAATATATATATATATATATATATATATTAATTATATTATATTATTTTAATTAAATTTATTATTTTTCTTATAATTTCAAATTCAAAAGTTAAAAAAAAAAATTTATGTATTTACTTTTCATTGTTAGTACTTAAACTTCTCTGCTCTAATTCTACTCTATGTTTCATTAAAACATAACTATAAAACGTTATTCATTAGAGTTAGTTGTCAATACCGCTACAAGAGGTTACAAGTAATCCCACATGAAAGGCCACTCATTGTGTAGATCTATTTTGTTGTCGTTCTGATGTTACTGATCGATCGAATCTCACATAAGATAAGGTCATCGCTGACAAATAACTTATGTGTTTAGTTTCACTTATTGTTTCTAAGAATTTTAGTTTAAAAAATTATTGTATTAAGATAAGTTTAGTACTTGTGATATTTAAATATTTATTTTTTATTTATATTTATACCTTATTCGTCAACTACATATTGAATTTTTATATTATTACGCTACTTATGTGAAGTTATATAAATATATTTTTTTTATAAATATTTTTTTTAAACAAGCGTGAGTAATAAGTACAAGATGAGTATGCAGGTACAAGCACGAAGATTAATGTTCATGCACATTCAAAGCTCTTGTAGTTGTTAAAAAGGTTCTTGATCGGAATTATATTGATTCGAAAGTAAATAAACGATGAAGCTCGAAACATTCAAAATAAACTTATCATAAATAATCAACTATCCACATGAACGATTAAAAAAAGCATAAAGAATGATTAGCAACAAATGTGAAAGGACCGTTTGTTCTGTTATGAACACCCGCCATACTTTGTTTATTGTTATATAGTTTCCTCACGTTAATGTCGGTTAATGTTAGATCCTTCTTTGGAATAATAATGACTAGGGCGAGATGCAGCTACTCATGTTGCCACGTGGATGAGCCCAGAATCCAAGAAAGAACAACTAAGAAGCATAGGATCAATGGGTGCAGAAGAGAAGATAGTCACAACATAATATTAATTAATTGGTAATAGGCACTAATTCAAGCTTGATAGCAAAGAAAACAGGAATCAATCCATTTGATCATAAAAACAAATGAAAAGTACTTCAAAGAGAAAAAGAGATCTAGGGGAGACACAGCCCACCATCAAACTTTTATTTTTTCCTCCTCCTAATATTCTCTCTCTCTCTCTCTTCTTCTCTTTTTGTCCTCTTTATCAAAACCCCAAGCAAGCCCCACATTCCACCCCCTTCTCCTCTTTGCCTCTCATCTCATCCCTGTGTTTGTCTCTCCCACTTTCTGCCTTTGGATCTTCTTCTTCCCTAAGGTCTTTTCTCTTTCTTCCTCTCTCTATTATAACTATATATGCTTATCATATATATATATATATATATGAATGTATAAAAAAATTATACTTGTTTAATTTGTTATTAATATGGTTCTTTTTTTATGCATGGCAGGGTTTGATTTGCATAATTTGGTGATCATCACTTGGAATTGAGGTTTTAGCGCACTCATTGATATCTCTATTTACTCTCTATTTCCAAGTTGTTCAGATAATTAGGAGGAAGAAGGAGGTCCAAAGTATATGGCACCTGTTTCATTGCCTCCCGGTTTCAGGTTCCACCCTACAGATGAAGAACTCGTTGCTTATTACCTCAAAAGAAAGATCAATGGTCGAAAGATTGAGTTGGAGATCATACCTGAAGTTGATCTCTATAAGTGTGAACCGTGGGACTTGCCAGGTAATCTCACACACAACATTTTTTCCACTATGTCATGCATAGAGATATATATATATAACTCGTACTATTTATTATAAGTTCAGGTTCGTGATTTTTATTTCTCGGATAAATAAAATTGAGTTGCATATATTTTTATTGATGAGAAGAAAATCCCATGACACAATCTTAATATATATCACGAAGAGGAGTTTTAACGTAAGATACCAAAATTTTCTTTTTATTAATTCCTCCTTTACTTGTAAATCATAATTCCTTAATGAGTTTGTAAAGCTCAAATAGAACCCAATAACTGTGTCTTAAAAAATTGAATACGCGCTCTATAGACGCGATTTACTTCTGATCTATATTCAGTGATGATGAAACACATACTTGCTTTCTTGGTCAAGTATATTTTCCTACTTTAACATAAAATATCTCATGTGATTTAGGTTAATCTTTACATGGTGGAAAAGATTGTACTTACGATTTCTAAAGAGGATGGTCCCTCACCTTTAGGGTTCCTATTGTGACTGTCAAGATTAGTAATGAGACAACAGTAGATTCCCAAGTCAAAAAGCGTAAATTAAAGAAAAGGATTACATTGTCTACACGATATAATAATACAGTTATACACAACTCCCATGCAATTTACTTTGCGTTTCTTATTCTCCCAGTGCTATCTACTTTATCGTCTTATGAGTTTGACGTGAAAACGACGGAATATATATGGGAAAAACTAAATAGAAAATTGTGAAAATACTTAATTTATTTTGAAGATAAGAAACATATATATAACCAATTTGAAATCCTTTTTTAAATTACAGGGAAGTCATTGTTACCGGGGAAAGATTTAGAGTGGTATTTCTTTAGCCCTCGTGATAGAAAGTACCCAAATGGATCAAGAACGAACCGTGCAACCAAATCTGGATATTGGAAGGCCACAGGGAAGGATCGGAAAGTGAATTCCTTGGCTCGATCTGTGGGTATGAAGAAAACCCTAGTTTATTATCGAGGAAGAGCACCCCATGGCTGTCGCACCAATTGGGTCATGCATGAATATCGTCTTGATGAGAGAGAATGTGAAACTGCTTCAGGCTTGCAGGTCTAATTTCATTTTCACTTTTAGATAATCCTGCTGGAGTTCTTTTTCTTTTCAAATAATAAGCTATAGATTTAATTGGCAAAACTCGTTTATGTATGTATTTTAACTCATCGACTATTATATCTTTTTATAATATATATGTAATATCGTATCAAGCATGATAGATGATAGTTATAATTTTTACAGTATATTCTAAAAAAAACCTAAAGAATTATTTCGTTGTGATTTAGTTAAAGTAATAATTTCTACGTACCAAATCAATTAGATGCTTAGTTTATAGGCATATACTTTTCTTGCTGTATACTACTAATTAACAAGACTGCCAGAGATTTTTTATTTTCGAATTCTACACGCTGATGGCGCTCTTCTTATTTGTTGAAAAAAAATTCTATAATTTCAGGATGCATATGCTCTTTGCCGTGTGTTCAAGAAGACTACAGTGATTACTCCAAAAGTTGGGGGGCACTATGTTAATGCTACCAGTCATGCCAACCAGATTAGCGATCAATCATCAAGCATTGAACTATACTCTGAAGGAAGGGGTGAAGATTTAGACAGCTCAAATTATTTGATGCCGATGGATATTGGCTCACTCCACAACATGAGAAATGATCAAACTGGTTTCAATATTAATGATGAGAGCAGGAATCATGAGAAATTGTCACACTTCTCATCAGAAGACCCATTATTTAGTCTTCCAACTTTTTCATTTGCTAATTATGGAGCTATAACATACCCTCCATCCAAGGTACGTACTTATTATTTGTACAAACATTTGAATATAAACAAAGAACTGTAATTTAAACGTGACTTAGTATATTTATTACAAGAAGATGTATATTCTTAAATTGGTTTTATTTATATTTTATTCATTTTTTTTGTTTTTAAAAATTACAAAGATACGGGGGTTTAATTATTGATAAAGGATTAAAATTTCATTATTTTTATTGATTATAAATATTGAAATTATTCAAATTTTGGTATGAACTACAGTTTTTTTAAAAATAGAAACCAAAAATATATTTAAGATAATTTAATTGTTATCTTTTCTCTTACATGTGATTTGATTAGCAGGTGGATATTGCACTAGAGTGTGCAAGGATGCAGCATAGGTTTGCTATGCCTCCTCTGGAGGTGGAGGACTTCCCTCAAGTTGGAATCTCAGAACTGAAGATGACACAAGGCTCTAGTTCAATGCACGCAAGCACAAATGAAACGGATATCTTGCAAGAGATTCTTTCAGTTGCTCATGCTTCTCAGGAATTGATAAGTCAATCCAACTACTCACAAGAATGGGGTGGCAATGATACTTATGCTCCTCGTGAAGATGATTTTACTTTCATGGTTGGCACTAATTACAATCATATAAACGATATGAGCTCAATGAGATATGTTGACAAAACATGGGGAGATGCAAACCCAAGGTGTATAGAGATTGGAGGAATGGATGAAGAATTTAAGGCAGAGAGGACGGTGGAGAATTTAAGATGGGTTGGAATGTCTAAAAAAGATCTAGAAAAGGTATGGTGGTTTTTCTTCTCCAAGTTTCATTAGTACCTAAATAGTAACTCTTCAATGTTTTATTTCACTGTCAAAATTAAATTAGCTTTAGGCTATGACCAAAAGTGGATTTTATGTCTTAATGAAAAATTGAATACTTATCATATAGATTGATTGAGAATACTTATTACTACTGGGATTGAAATCACCGTTTCATTTTGTCGCTCTTTCTATGTCATTCAATTAAGAAAATGATAGATAATTAAAATCATTTTTCTATTTCATCATTCTTTCTCTATATACAGTTTCGATTTTACGGAAATGTTATATTTTAACAGAAGAAAAAAAATATTACTAGTATTTGATTCCTTGATTACGAAAGATGCTTAAAATATTTGAGCAAATTTATAATCATTTAAGTTTATATTAATTTGCAGATGGAAGAACAAAAGATTGTTCCAATTGAGGACATTTCAAACTTCCAAATTAACAGGGAAGAAAATGAGGTGCAAGGTAATAAAAATCCCACACTATATGACCGCCCTATTTTTTAAGATGTTTTGGTAAATGGTCAAGTTCATTTAAACTTCTAATCTTTTCTTTTTGTATACCTGAACAAAATTAATAAATAAATAATTTATTTGTATCAGAATCCGAGCAACACAATAGTAACAAGGAACACAATGATAGTGACATCAACGATTTCTCATTGGACTTCATTAATGATGACGATCCTAATAATGAGAACTTTACAGAAGATGGCAACATGGATGATTATTCCAGTTCTCCTAGTTTTGAGGTCGTTGAGGAAATAAAGGTTAATCATGGAATGTTTGTTTCGACTCGTCAAGTAGCCGAGACATTCTTTCACCAAATAGTTCCTTCACAAACCGTCCAAGTTCACCTCAATCCAGTTATAGCAAACAATCTTTCTATAGAGAATGCAGAGGCAATGATGATGATATTGGAGAACAAAGGGTCTTCTTTCGCAGCAAAATTTAAGGCCTATGTGATGGGGAAGCTAATAAAGCCATCACAGACAATAGCAAGTGCTATTGCTTTTGTCTGTGCACTTATGTTGATGCATTGTGTTTATTTGAAGGAAGAAATGGAAATTTGGAATGATACATGTGGTGGTAGTGCTTGTAACATGAAGAGAATGAGTCAATCATCTGAGATAATCGAATGGAATGAGTCAAAAGAGGTTTGGTTTTTTGGTGTCAAAAGTGAGAAAGGATTTAGTACAGTCTTGAAGAAAATAGGCATTTTCCTCACCATATCTTTGGCTCTTTGTACCATGTGGGCTAACCACATTATAGTTAACCCTTGATCTCCTAATTCATTTAATTTTTGTCTCTAACTTAAGGAAGTAGTTTGAGAGGGCTCAAATTGTGCTTCCCCAAGATAAGTGGGAGGTTGATGAATACCTATACTTGTTATATTTTATTTTAAATCTTGTTATTTGATTTAGTGTTGATTTATATTCATCCTTAATTACGAATAGAATGCTCACCTTAGTTTTCTCTCGTAAATTTATTATTCAAATCAGATATAAATAAGCGTTTCATGCATGCAGTCACTTGAAAATTTTTAATATTTACAACAAATATTAATATTATCGTACAATCAATAATCTGACTTAGCATGCATTTTTTTGTCATTTCATTAACAAATTATATATATTGGAAGTGATGAGATTCTTATAATACATCTTTCATTAAATGGTTTAATTTTAACAAGCGTAAAACAAAATATGTGACTAACCTAATTGAATTGGTCCAAGTTTATCGAGACCATATTATCTTTTATATGAAATATAAAAGTGTACCTTGTATTCCTTAAACTAATTCATGTTAATAAATTTATTTGGCCGGGAATCGACAAAACCACCATTTTTCCGAGAAACGTTCAGACGCCATTGAACTTCTATAGTTGCTCTTATAAAGAATGTTCAGAGGTTGGAGGAATAGAACAAACTTGGAAGAGACTAGGTTGTGGTGGGGTTGAAACTATTTAGAGTTTATGGTTGGTTGTAATCAACTTTACTTAAGACCCAAAAGATGGGGGAGAAAAAGAACAAAAACGAGGAAGTCATTATTTAACATTGGTGGTCATTTATTTGAGTCAATAAAAAAGAATTATACCATGATATTATTCATTCATTTCATAACCAAATCCATACTACTAATAGAAAACTATATAATTTTTTTTTATTTCTAAAAATTTATAGTTTATTTTGGTTTAATTTTATGATTTTATTTTGTGTTTCAGTTTAATTTTTTATTTTACTTTTGCTTCTACGCCAATAATGAGATCTAAGAGCGGTTCCGCCTGAATTAAGAGAGCGGTTATTGGTACTCTCAAATCGCGTGCTATCCAATGTCCTTGCATTTACGAGAGCGGTTATTTAACTACTCTCATATGTTAACCCTTGGAGAGTGGTTCCGACCTCAACCGCTCTCTAAATGGTACTTAAGAGAGCGGTTAGGCGGGGAACCGCTCTTAGACTTGAATAGATTGGAGAGTGATTCCCTGCCTAAACGCTCTCTAAATGTTAACTTTGGAGAGTGGTTCGTCGCCTAACTGCTCTCTAAAATTTAATTTTGGAGAGCGGTTAATCAGCCAACCGCTCTCTGATATCAAGCTTTCTGAGAGCGGTTCCAATAACCGCACTCCAAAGTCATTTTCTTAGAGCAGTCTTTTACAAACCGCTCTCTAACGTCTAATTGTTAGAGCGGCGGTTCATCTGTGAACTGCTCTCTAAAGTGAAGATCTTTTAGCGGTTCTTGTGTAACCGCTTTTTCTTAAGTGTAATTTTGAGTGCGGTTCCTGTTGAACTGCTCTCTTAAGTTTAAAATTATTTTGCCTAGTAAACCATATTATTCCAATTGACATTATTCCAATTTTTTATATACCTAATAAACCATATTATTCAAAAACAGTGGAAACAGATTACAACAACCTGATATACCATAAAGTTAAGCCAACCACATTACATTTTATCAATCAGAAATCAAATTAATTTTGCACCATACGAATATCTATCATTCAAAAGTATCAGAACATTACTGCGTAAAACAAATGATGAATATGTACAGATACAATTACAAAAGAACCATAATTAAAAAGGCTCAGCAATTTATACACTTTTGCCTAATGATTTTACAAATATGACTAAGTCTTATAAACAAAATACTAAGAATCAATTGTGCTTAATGTGTCCTTTAAATATCTATGGTACAGATATGCACACCACTCCCTTTGAACTTGGTGAATTCTGTTGTCAGGAAAGGTTGGTAATTGGAACTCTGAAAAATACTAAAAGGAAAACAAATTACAAATCTTAGTTATATTAGATATAATTCAAATGGCCAAACACTATCGTAGAAGAAATTGAAATGATATATCAAGATTTCAGATATGCACTCCTTTTACATTAAGTGGGATTGTAGTTTGTCTATGGTGCAAAGCACCTTTAATAAAGAGACACAAATAATATGCACAGTCATCATTATTTGATTGCTTAGAACACTATACGTGGAGGAAAAACACATAAAAAGCATGATTAATAATTGAACAATATTGACTATAAACTATGCAGTCTTATAAAATAAGTAAAAGGAGTTTTTGTCAAATGGTATATACCTGTACAGTGACCCATTTTGTTCGATGCATCTTTGACCTAGAAGGCTGCACTTCTCTTTCTACTCGATATCTGACAAGAGCAATAACAATAAAATGAAATAAAAAATTTACAATTAAACCACATTCATATATGATAAACCAGCTAACAGGGAAAACCATGTATACTTATTAACTATGTTTAGCATATGTGGTCTACTCTTCAACTATTTGCGGAGGGGATCCATATTATATTACAAATATGCATGGTCATAAGATTAACTTACCCAACATTGTAAGGTGCGAATACCAAGTGATCTTCACCGATATGACGCTTTAACATGTCAGCTATATGTTGATGTGGGGTCTGATTGAGGTTTGCATCCATTTCATAAGGAGATATAAATGAGAACCTACTTGCCATATTGGTCCCTTCCAAGTAAGCTTCATACAAATATCTTGTAGTTGAAAAGAAGAATGAAGATACATTAAATAAGGTAGTTAACATCAAGTTTCCTATGGATTTCTATAATTATACAATTGGCATAAATTAAAGAGTTACCTAATGTAAAGGTTAATGCTGGAGACGCTTAACCAATGGCGACGTATGACCTCTTGTATGTTTTCTTTTCCCACTATGTCATTAAATTCTTTTCCCCAATGCTAGCTTGTCATATGAATTGTTACATTATCAATGGTTGAATCACTTCTTATATAGAGCTTCATCATATCGAAGCACGCAGCACCTTAAGCCTGTGCCAACTCAGAAAGGTCAGATGAAATAGAAACAACACCTTTATTGCTTGGACCAGCAATGGATTCTTTTGTGTGACCTGTCCCTTTCCCTAACCCTCTACTAGATGATGGGGCAACCTGAAATAACATCAATGTTTCATTATGGAATGAATAATTAAATGCATATACTGGAATGCTGCAAAGAAAATTATGGTTACCTACCTTGGGTCGTAAAGTGATTAGGGAGAATGGCCAAGCAACATATGTTCCAATTGCATCTTTCAGGCAATTGAGGTTTGCTTCTTCATTAGGAACAGGCAATGCAGTCTCTTCTTCATGTCTTTGCACTATCTTTATTGAGACCTTATAATGGTTCGGAGGAAGAGCAGCATTGTGTAAGGAGTCCCCAACCACTGTATGTGAAACTCTCCCTCTTGCAACCACGCGATATGGGGTGCTCAAATACAAGATGCAGTCATGATCACCTTATAATACATACATTAATAAATAATAACATAAAAATTTAATCGTACGTCATTAACAATAAAATTAAAAGTCAACAAATTTTGTAATCCAACTGTATCTCTGGAATTTCTACAGATGCAACTGGTGTACAACTGCCTCTTTGGCTGTTACATGGTAGTTCTGACTGCAGATGGTGACCTCTGTTCGGAGGGCAAGTGTACTCATCAAGAAGTAATAAAGGGTTCTTAAATTAAGTTCTCGAAATATCGTCCCACAAGGATTGATTTTTAATTATTAAGAATTTCCTAATTCAATTGTTTGAGCTTCAAGGCTACAAAATTAATTTAAAACCAAGAATTTATAAAAATCAATTATAAAACTAAGAGCAAGGAATACAATGCACGTCTTGGTTAAACTTATCAGAGAGGAACCTAGGGTATATGAGTGTTCTCATTCAATCTTTTATGTTATTTTTCTATTTAGATCTAAATCTAATTTCCTGGTAATTACTAATCATTCATACTAAAACTATTAATATCCATTGGTCATGCAATATTAATATTCTTTTCTCTAAATTAACATCCCTAATGGTCATGCAAGACATCAATTAAAGAAAACCTAAGGAGCCTATGAACGTGTTAATTTAATAATGATTAGAAGAGAAAGATTAGTTTGGTCCACCTAATCCTTTGTCTCGTTTTACCATATAGATCTATTAATTAATCGAGGTACGGTCGCTTGACGATATAATTAATTAAGATTAAGAAAAAAGCGCAATAGGATAAAAGCTAATCACATAGCGGAAATCAAATTAAGATTCAAACATCAAAATCCCATAAATTCATAAATAATAGTTCTCATAGCCCTAGCTATGGACTTAGTTACTCATGCTAAAGAAAAGAACTAAAACAATCATGAACAAGGCCATAAAGAAAAGAAATATAAAACTAGAATGTGAAATGTGTTCCCGGTCTTCAAGTACGATCGCTGGAAGCTCTAAGTCCCGCCAAGAGTGTGCCAAAGATCCCGTGCAAGAGAGACAAAATGGGATGTATCCCAGAGCCAAAGACTAGATAAAAAACGGTGTGTAAAAGATATCTTCAATGGTGCATTCGGTCTTCCTTTAATAGGGTTTGAAAACCCTAAAAACTCTTCATTATTGGGCTTCCTGCATATGAGCACGGTCGTGCAAGGCCTTAAGCACGACCGTGCATGAGCTTGAAGCACCCCGTGCTTATTTAAAGGGGCTGGGCATGCTGACTGCTGCAAAGCTCTAATCTTCTATCAATTTGGACCCAAAATGCGTCCAAAATATACTTGCAGCCTCTTTATACAAAACTGCACAATTAACAAATAAACTAGTGTAAAATCCAAATAAAATAAAGATTGAATATGAATATATGGGCTATAAAAGAGGGCCTAATTACAGACTTATCAACCTCCCTCACCACTTGATGCATTTGAGTAGGAATACCCATTTGTAGTGGCATGCAACTAGGCATAAATGGT